TGAACTCAGGAGTTCTTTACCTACCTGGAGAATGTAGAAAGATTCCTTTTCCAAAACAGAACTAAATATGAATGGGCAAGCTGATGGTGTAGTAAGGCAGGCCCACAACCAGAGCCTTGGCTTAAAGGTCAGAGTTGTGCCCTGAGAGGAAACTCATTTTGAGTTAAAGTGGACCCAACATGGGCACAGGAGAACCTGATAATTGCAGGGTCTGCTGGCCCATTAGGTCTTCTCCTTAATCCAAGAACATATGTGTGCATCCTGGACACAGTAAAATCAGAAGGTACTGTTTCATCAGAAGTTCCATAAGCTCCTCAGCACATGCAACTCTGGCGTCTTCCAGAAATGTCACAAATGGGGACTGAGGCATTCTTCTTAGTCTCACTAAAGCATACCACCTACTTTCGGCAACCTGAATAGACCAGGATATTAGTGAAGTGCATGGGACCCAGGAAAAAAAAAAAAAAATCTTCTCTGGGAAAGGGGTAAAGAGAGGCCAAGGGAATAGGGAAAGCTGCAGAGGATGTTTATAATACCTCTGTGCACACAGGAAACTCCCAGAAGTTCTCGGCAGGGATAGGTACAAAGTAATGAAAGGACTGGCAGGAGCTTCTTAAATAAGGGCTTTTACCAGTAAAATAAACTCATGTTGAAAAAAGCTGGTGGGAGATGGAATTTTCAAAAAGATGGCTATTGAAATGTGTAACCATCATGACAGAATCCAGTCTGGAGAACCAAGAAGTCTCTGCTGAGGGAATGACAACTGAAGGATGAGTAGGAAATAGCTAAAACAGTACTTCTCAAAATGTGGTTTGATTCTTTTCCCACTAAGCTGACAGTGCAGCCCTCTCGCCCCAAGTAGCAATGCACAATGGTACATGGTCAAAGGCTGGAAAGATCCAATGGAATATTTTGTAGATAAGAAACCATTTTTCTTGCTGGTGGCACATGCCTATAATTTCAGCAGCTTGAGAAGGTGAGGCAGGAGGATCACAAGTACAAAGCCAGTCTCAGCAATTTAGAGAGGCCTTGTCTCAAAGATTAAAAAAAAAAAAGGGGGGGGGCTGGAGATGAGCTTCAGTGGTTGAGCACCCCTGGGTTCGATCCCAGGTACCCCCCCAAAAAAAATCTTTTGTAGGTAATAAGAATATTTTTGTCATTATTGTCAACATAGTTATTATTAGTATCATTAACCAACTAATAGAGAGAGCCAGAGGAAGAATATGTAGCATGGTGTGTTACCCTCATTACTCTTCAGGCTTCATTACTACTATTTTTCTGCCATAGCTATTGGAATCTAGTTTACTATGAGAACACTCAAAATAGGGATTTAAAGTAAGAAATGTAATAAACATGCTCTTTTTATTCTCATTATATCCTCGATTTAGAATTCGTTTCCCATGATGAAGGAAAAGGTGGTATGTTTCCTATATGCTGGCATCACGAAAGGGAGAAACAAGTTATTCATATTTATGAATTTGATTTTTTTTTGGGGGGGGGGTAACCAGGAATTGAACTCAGGGGCACTTGACCACTAGTGACATTCCCAGCTCTATTTTGTATTTTATTTAGAGCCAGGGTCTCACTGAGTTGCTTAGCACCTCACTTTTGCTGAGGCTGGCTTTGAACTCAGGATCCTCCTGCCTCAGCCTCCTGAGCTACTAGGATTGAATTTGATTTTTGACATTAACTATGGATCTTTAGACTTCTCAATCAAATCAGCTTCATTGGTTAAATGAACTGTTTTATTAATTTACAGTGAAATAGTTTTCAAATGACTAAACATAGGAACATAGAAATAACATCACATTTGCCTTGTTATAAAGTTAAAGGTATTTTATCATTACTAGCTGAAAATTTTGAAGCCAGGTTTCTCACTGAGGACACTATACAGACACTGATCTTTTTATTTTGGTCTTTTAAGCAGAAACACAGACTTAAGTGAAATTATAAGCATAGGCTTCTTAATAGCTTCCTAGGACTCTGAACTTTTGCTTTCAATACCAAATAATATCTGAAAAACATGCTCACTTTTATGTTTTTTGAGAAATTCTAAGAACTGGCCCAGATTCATGTGATAATCATTTCTTAATCCATAGTCACCATGGGCCTCAAGGAGTAATTCTTCAAAAGAATGGAAAAGGCGCAGGTCCTCGCCATTTCCTTCTGTTTCCATGCTTTCAGCATGCTTACAAGAAATATGCTTCCAATTAGGATACCTAATTGTGTGCCAGAATTCCTCACAGTGCTCTTTGAAACCCTCCACACATATTATACCAGGCTTTCCTGTCATGCAAAATCCAGTGACATCTAACCTTTTCCCTGCTTCCAAAATCTTTTTCCTTAAGTCCTGGTGATATATATGGTGACTATAGATCCACATTCGGAGGAATGTGTTCTTGACAGGCTTTGCTTGTGTAGATGGTTCGTACACCAGCTTTCTATTCAGGAAGTAGGAAGCACTGTTGTCCTGTAGCCACTGGATTGCCGCACATACACAGAGCTCACCTGGATCAAAAGTCCCTATATAAGAAGTGAGACCTTTGTTGAGAAGTAGCTGCTGTTGTCTGTCAAGCTCAGATGATCGCCCAAACAGCTGCAATGCTACGAAGGGGTAGTTGTGAGGCATGGTTACTTGCAAATCAATTTTCACCTTAAAATGAAAATCAAATAGATTTAAATGCCATAAAAATCACACAAGCTAGTTTATCAATGACAACTACATGATTTTGATAAATGGAATAATTATTGCTGTTCTGTTACCAAGTACTTTATATACATGATTCTATCCATGTATACATTCATTCTTTCTCATATTTATTGAATTAACTACACATGCTAAGGACCCTGTGCTGGGACAGTGAAGTGAAGAAGTCAGACATTATTTCTTCCCTTCAAGGAGTCCACAGCCTAGTGAAGGAGACACACATTAAACAAGTAACTATGCATAGCAAATATTTAATTTCAATTGTGAGAAGCATTACCATAGAAAAGTTCAGGGTTCCATTGAAGTGTGTAACCATCAGGACAGAATCCAGTCTGGGGAACCAGGAAGTCTCCTCTGAGGGAATGACAACTGAAGGATGAGTAGGAAATAGCTAAAACAGTAGTTCTCAAATGCCCAGGACATGTGTTACCTATGCTATACTAATGTTGCTGTAGATAAATGGATAAGAACATAGAGGGAAATTTATTTTTAATATTTAGATTTTGTTACCTGTATTTGTTTTCTGGGTTATGGTGCCATCAAAACAAAAAACCCCAATGTTCATTCATTTCTTAAAAGCCTGTTTTGCTACAGGCAATATCTAGATTTGTGAAAATCATGATACAAGTAAAGGGAGTACATATTGTAATAGGTGGATTGTTAAGAAACTGGATGAGTGAACAGAATAATGGTAAGTATGACTAGGATATTTTCAATAAAAACATTAGGTATATTTGTTTAAAATGTGTTCATATTTATGTAAAATTTAGGATGTTTACTAAAGACAATTTACAGAGCATCTCATATTTTATATATTTTGCTTCCAAAGAAGTAAAGAAATATGCATCTAGGGTATTCTTTGTGTCCTGGACAGAAGTTCATGCAACAGGCATTTTGTTAACAACTGGGAATCTAACAACACTAAAACAAATGAGGGCACCCACCTTGGGCTCCTCTATCTGGAGCGTAATCACAAATTCAATTTTTGGTGGTAGCGCCTCCCTTCTACCTTCCAAATATCTCTTTATATTCGTCAGGGCATTTACATCTTCAAGTTTTACTTCTCCTTGGTTAGGAAACATAGAAAACAGCATTTCCATTTCCAGCAGCTGAAGCTGAAGGCTTTCTTTCACTGAAGCTGACATGTCTCGAAATCAATCTGCCTGGGAACTTGGAAAGGCCCAGGGACACTGGATTTGTCAATATCAGATGGTATCCAGCGAAATTATCAGTAGGTCCTTTTATGAGGAGGCAGTTCCGCAGGAGCACTTTGCACAGAGAGCTAGGGGCACAAACCAGGACACTCAGACCCTTGAGATTTATTTCCTGACCCCAAAGTTCATAGGCACAACATCCCCTAAAACACTCTATTAAAATCCAAATTCAAGACCTGGATGTAGGAATCTGCACTTGCAACAGGTGTTCTGAACTGTCCCGTTGTAGGTGGTTGCAAATACCACTGGAGACAGTCTGCAATCCTGAATTCTAGTAGACAGGGGTCTGGCTACATAATGGAGTCGACTCTCATACTTGGGCGGAGCTGGGCAATGCAGCTAGAGACCCGCAGCGCCGAGGGGCGGGGCCCTGGGTCCCCAGCCTGCAGTCGTTAGGGCCCCGCAGCCCCCACCACCTGTCACTGCCGCCCCCACCACCTGCCGCTGCCGCCTCCTCCGTTCCACCGCTACCGTCCCTCTGCTTCTCACCGGAGCCACATTCCCCAGGGAAAGCATCTCGGGTACTCCCGACGCTTTGGATTCACCTGGCCTCTGCCTGAGGGGCTCAGGCTAGGGATATCTTAGAGGTTAATGCATAAAATGTCGTTTAGAACAAGCTCCGGGGATGGGCGGTGGCCTGAGGTGGCTTCTCGGAGGCACAGATTTGGGAGATGATCTCCTAAATCGAGAGAGGGATGCGGGAAGCATCATTTGTGGCATTCATTGTGGCCCTGGCCGCGTATCTGTGCTGGTTCCCTTCCCTGCCCCCATCCAAGACCACTCAAAACCCCAGCTTCCCGAGAACGTCTTCCCCCCGAGGCCCAGATTTGGAGAATCAAGGCTGCGTATCCCAGTGCTCTGATCCCCGGCCCCAACCCCCGGACCATCGTGGGGCCTCACCCTTCCTGGCCATTCAGTCCAAACAGCCCCAGAGCCGCCTAGTAACCGCATCCGCAGTTCTGCAGGCGCGAGCTGCGCGCGACCGGCGGGGAAACCGGGGCGGGGCCGACGGACACTTCCCGCTCTGATTGGCTGAGGGGCGTGGCGACGGGCCGGAAGCAACGCAGGGCCACGTCTGCAGGTTAGAGGGCTGGAGTACAGAATCCCTGGCCGTGAAGGGGGACCTTTGCAGCCCAGTGGAGGGCAAACGACGTCCCCTCTCAGAGGTGAGAATCCGCGAGGCTTAGAGGCGAGAAGGAGTCGTTCCGGGGTTTGGGGGTTCGGTGGAATCCGGCCAGCCCGGAGCCAGCGGCCCAGGTATCCCACAGACCGCGCGCCCGACACACCTACCCGCCGCGGCGCCTTGGGATCCGGCGCGTCGGGCCAGTACTCGGGTCGCGGGCCTGGGCGGGGTCCCCAGGGCTGAGTACTGGGAGTCTCTCCTTAAATCGGGAACTGAGAGAGTGGGACCTACGAGGTTTGAAGATCGAATGAGAAGGGGCTACACAACTTTTTTAGAGAGGCACTGTTGAGACTTGCATAATATTCTCAGTAAAAGCATTAGACAGTTGTCTTGCTTTCTGGATTTAAGGAGACGCTCATATGATTAATCATGATACATCCCTGAATGGTCAGTTTTTACAAAAATATATTCAACCTTGTGCAAGAGATTTGACTACTTTGGCAAGAACTGAATTAGTTTCCTGAATGCCAGCTTTTTCCAACTGTACAAAACCAAACACTTTTCACCATTTCTTTTACTTTTTGTTCTTTGAAACACTGAAGGGCATTAAAACAAGAAGGTGAGGCATACAGCTGTGGAGTCTACTCTTCAACTCTGGGCTAATTGGGAATGCACCCAGGAAGTGCATAGTATATGGGCCTCGGGGTACACTGCTGACTGAATTGGAAATCCCAAATTCCTCTGAATTAGAGTATCTCAGAAAAGGAACAACACATGTTTGACTTTGACTTTTTTTTTTTGAGATAGGTTCTTGCTAAGCTGCTGAGACTGGCCCAGAACTTGTGATCCTCCTGCTTCAGCCTCCTGAGTTGCTGGGATTACAGAAATTTGTGATCCTTCTGCCTCAGCCTACTAAGTAACTGGGATTACAGGTGTGGGTCACCCTGCCTGGCTGATTTTTAAAATTAAAAGATAACATTACTTAAAAGATGTGACTAGTCTCAGAGCTAAATTGAGAAAGCTAAAAAAGATGTGACTAGTCTCAGAGCTAAATTGAATTCTCTTTATGAAAATTGGACAATCTTCTGCAAGGTATATTAGGGAATGTGGGCAGTCTTGGAGAGGAAACTGTTACTGCCTTTGATTTTCTTTTGGGAATATGTGTCTGTAGCCTGGGACGAATAGCAGAAGATCCATATAAATTTCCCAGATATTTTGAGGTATGTTGTCCACTTGAGAATCTGACCAGTTACACACATGAACTTAGGTTATTTAACAGGGGCCCAGATTCAAGGTTTCTCTTTTATAAAATGAGAAGATCTTTGATCTTGCAGGAGTTTCCGAATCTATGTATAAAAATCCTTCTTAGGTTGAGAGTAGACCATTTTAAGTTAATCCTGGAATAGTCCTAGAGGCAAAATGGGAGATGAATTAGAGATAAGGTGATTTCTTCTCTGAAGTAGACAATAGAAAAGTTGGGCAGGAACTTCTAGGTAATTCTAATGCTGCGGAGTTATTCTACTGTTCTTTTCTGTCTCATACATAGTTCTTTTGGGGAGGTTCAGAATAAAGCAGACCTATTTCGTTGGGGTGGCAGGTTTTTAAGAAATGTTTTTATTAGTGCATTATAGTTATACCTAAAAATGGGGTTCATTTGGAAAAATTCATAGATGTATACAATATAATTTGCTCTATTTCAATCCCCATTACTTCCCCTTTCCTCTTTCTCCCCCTGATCCCTTTCCTATACTTTATTTGTCTGTCTTTCATTTATTTATTTATTAAATTGGTACATTAAAGTCATTCATAAAAGTGGAGGGTTTCTAGTTTTTGAAGCAAATGGTCTTTGAATGATTTCTTATTATGTCTGAAAATTTTTGTAGACATGGATTTAAGTGCTATTACAAAACACTCAGCGTTACATGCCAAGCCCCGTGGACTCCTCCTTCAATATGGGACTGCTGGATTTCGAATGAAGGCAGAACATCTTGATCATATCATGTTTCGCATGGGATTATTAGCTGTCCTGAGGTCAAAACAGACAAAATCCACGATAGGAGTCATGGTCACAGCATCACACAATCCTGAGGTAATGCATTTAGTGCTCTGATAAAGCAAACAAACAAGACTAAACCCTGGTGTCTGGGCAGTTGGACCAAAATACAAATTCTAATTCTGGGAATGTGCCTTTGGATTTGAAGCAATTTTTATGAATGGTCATTTAGCTCAAGGCCCATTAGAGGGTGTGGAGAGAATGAAATTAGACCATTTTATGAAAAGTGTCCATATTAGAGAAATAATATGTCTTTCCAGCTTACTTGAATTGAGACAGTATCAGTCATTACAAAGTGTTACCTCTGTTAACTTGGCAGTAATTTAATAGATGCAGTTGGATGGGGGAAAGCAAACATTTGAAAAGACGTATTTTGAAAAATTTAAGGCTTTTTTTTTTTTTTTTTTCTAAATACTTTTCCTGTTTTGAATGAAGAGTCAAACAAGTAGATTCAGGGATCCAAAAGTGATCTTTGGGAAGAATAATAATGAGATTCTAGTCCTCAGGACATTTAAGGTTTTAATCTTAACTGTTCTTCTGACAGTTATTTTTCAGCTTTATTGAGGCATAGGTGGCAAATAATATGTAGGAACTGTGCAGTGTCTTATTTGGATATATGTTTACATTGTGGAATGACTACCACATTTAAGCTAATTAACATCCTCATCACTTCATATAGTTACTTTCTTCTAGTAATGAGAATACTTGAGATCTATTCATAATGAATTTAAAGTATATAATGCATTGTTATTAACTATAGTCACCATGTAGTACATTAGATCCGAAGAATTTATTCATAACTGCAAGTTGATACCCTTTGACCAACATCTCCCTCTTTACCCCATATCCCATCTGTCTCAATCACCATTTAACTATTTCTGTGAGTTTAACATTTTTAGATTCCCTATAAGTGGTATCATGCAGTATTTGTCCATGCGTGGCTAGTTTCACTTGGCATAATGTTCTCCAGGTTTGTCCATGTTGCTGCAAATTACAGGATTTCCTTCTTTTTTTAAGGTTGAATAATAAAATGTATATTTATGTATATATATATATATATATATATATCACATTTTCTTCATCTTTCAGTAGATGATTAGGTTCTCTTGGCTAGTTTTGACGCAATTTAAATATTTACTTTTTATTGCCACTAATACATAGTTTGAATAATATGTATCTGATTGCTAGAGCATTCGACTTTTGTTTCTGTAGCTAAATTAGCAGCAAATGGAAGGTATGTAATTCAGTGATGGATTGTAACCTCTTCTCCCCTCAAACATTGCTTGTCTAATCTCTGTGTAATTACTATAAATGTGTAAATATCAATGTAGAAGTCACCATAATTGATCAGTGACTTCGCATTTATTGATAACTGTAGAAGTACTTCTCAGAACTTTTGAATTGTTTCTCTAAGTTGACATGCATTCTGGACTATGCATATTTCTTTCCAGGATTTTGAGGCGAACAGCATTGGGAGTCATTTTGTGCCACCCACTGGTCAACATGCTGGCCATTACATTCTTGGAGTCCAAAGTTAGGGAGAATTGAGTCTGAGGTTTTGCTCCAGCTGTGCCCTAGTCAGTTAATTGATACACTGATGACAGCTTTTTAAAAAAGCTTCTGTAGTTGTGTAGTTAAGTCAAATAGACGTGATATTTTAATATCAGCTGACACTTATTAGCTGTATAATCATAAGCAAATTACCTAACCTCTTTGAATCTCAGTTTTCTGTAAGATAGAACTAATAATAGGATTAATAATTACATTGATATGTGTCATGGGTAGTTAACATATATAATTCACCTGCCAGTGCCTGGCATTATTAATAAGTGATAACAGGTGAAGTGGCTCAGCCATCACTGTCTTCTGCTGGAAAAAAACAGCAAGACTTCTTTGTCATCTCACCCTCACTTGTATGCAGGGATGGCTTATTGTTTGTTTATCTTTTAAGGAAGACAATGGTGTGAAATTGGTGGATCCTTTGGGTGAAATGTTGGCGCCATCGTGGGAGGAACATGCTACTTATTTGGCAAATGCAGAGGAAGAAGATATGCAGAGAGTGCTTATTGATATCAGTGAGAAAGAAGCTGTGGATCTGCAACAAGATGCTTTCGTAGTTATTGGTAGAGATACCAGGTGACAATAAGTGTTCTTTGCCAAAGCAGTTTTGGGAATGTAATATTAACGATGGCATCTGTTATAATACCAAGACAAATGAAAAGAATTCAGTAAAGTGGAACTATCATGAGGGGTGCCTCCCTTACCTGGCTTTTTTAGTAGGAGATGGGAGCTAAGTCATGACTGCAGCTTGCGTTTTGGAATTTCAACTATCCTTTGAAACTGAACTCTAACTCTTACAGTTTTAGAAGTTTACTTAATTTTTTGGTGCTTCCATTTCCTCATCTAACAGATGTTGATAAGTCCTATCACAGTGTTTATAAATTTTTTTTTAACTGGTGTTTTATAATTATATGTAATAGGGGGATTCACTGTAATATATTTGTACATGCACATAACAATTTGGTCAGTTTCCTCCCCCAGTTATCTCTCTCTCTCTTCCCCTCTTCCCTCCTCTTTGTCTTCTTTCTCTGCTCTACTGGTCTCCCTTCTATTTTCATGAGATCCTCCTTAATTTTTTCTGGCTTCCACATAGGAGAGAAAACATACAACTATTGACATTTGAGTCTGGCTCATTTTGCTTAACATTATACTCTCAAGTGCCATCCATTTTCCTGCAAATGACATAATTTCATTCTTTGTGGCTGAATAAAACTCCATTGTATAAATATACCACATTTTTTTTTACTCATTTCATCTGCTGATGAATACCTAAGCTGATGGATACCTAATTTAACTATTGTGTTAAAGTATTTCTGTGAAAATTAAATAAAATAATGTGTGCCAAATACCTGTTTCCTGAAATGAGAGAAGCATGTAATAAATGGGTCCCTGAAGGTTTTTTCCCCTTATGGCAGTAGAACACATGATTTCATAGCATTTTCTTACCCTGGAGTTCATTGGAAAATAGCAATTTTTAGTCTTTTCAGCATATTTATGATTCAGCTTTTGCCTTCCTTTACAAAACATATCTTGTGAAATGTTACATTAAAACTATTTTTTTTTTTTGTACAAAGGATTGAACCCAGGATCTTGTGCATGCTAGGCAAGTGCTGTAGTACTGAGCTATATCCTCAGCACCTTAGATCTGGTTTTATTGAGAGATTCTTTCAAAAGGAAATGTCTCCTCAATGGCTTGGACCTTGCTTTTCACCCTTTGTGTTACCAAAGGATTTTGCAAATAGTGCTAATGGTAATTTATAGATAGCAGAGAAATAGTTGAGTGATTTATATCCTAAAGTAAATAATATCCATATTGAAGCCATCCCACATATATTTGGTTCTTACCTATTTACTAATTTAAATATCACATATTTTTCTACATGGCAGTTATATAATGATATGCCTTATTTTCAGATATTTGTTCTGACTTTATAAAATGAGAAATAGGGGTTCTATATCCTCAGTAGTTTAATACCCAACAAAATAACATATTTTTGTAAAATGACAAAAGCTGCTGAATGTGACACATGTAGAAAATCATATAAATTGCTGTTTCCCAGTGAACTTGAGAGAGAAAATGCTATATTTGTACCAATGGTAACATAGGTTATAGATAGAATCTCTAATACTGTGTGTGCTTTCAGTATTTATTGTTGTTGTTAACAAATATTGCTATAGTGAGACAGGAAAGTTATTTGAATATGGTGTAGTTAGGGTATCCTTCATATCTATCTTCCAACTTCATGTACAGGCCAAAATTTTTCCAACAAATTGATTATGGAGGCTACTGGAAAATGCTTATAATTTACCCATATCTCTTTTTCAGAGTTGATTGCTTTCAGTTCAAATACAGTGAACTAATTATTTAGAAATTGGTAGCACTAATTTCTGCACTTGCTTTCACAACCAGCAACTCTGTTGGTTTCAGATGGGATTATATTTTTTTCTTCCTTTCCTTTCCTAGGCCCAGCAGTGAGAAATTTTCACAATCTGTGATAGATGGCGTGACTGTTCTAGGAGGTCAAGTCCATGGTATGCGGCTATTCTAAGTTATAAATAAATTCTTAAATATTTTTAAAATTATAAAAGTAATGCATATTTAAAGTTTGATGAACAATAAAAGTTAAAAAAATTAATTCCTGGCTATAAAATACTTTTAACATAATCTTCCAGATTTTTTTTTCTCAGCAGGCATTTTTTTCTTTTACTTTTGGTTCTTTTAAGAACATGTTTTTTAGGGTTGGGGTTGTGGTTCAGCAGTAGAATGCTTACCTAGCACATGCGAGGCCCTGGGTTTGATCCTCAGCACCACATAACAATAAATAAATAAAATAAAGTTATTGTGTCCAACTACAACTAAAAATATAAATATTAAGAAAAAAAAGAACATGTTTTTATTGTTTTCATTTAGTTTATGGCACAACATACAGAGGATAAAAACAGAGTAAGAGCTCCCCAAATGTTTCTCTAGGCACTGTCTCTAGATATAATTTCTTAAGAATTAATTGTATCAGGTCTCCTGGGACACACACACACACACACACACAATATTAATATTATATATAATATTAATAATATATACACATACATATATGTATGTGTGTGTGTATATATATATATATACATATATATAGTGAGAGTATTGTAGAATATTATAGATCTAATACAACTTTATTTTAGTAAGGCTGAATTTCCTGATGTAAAAAATCTCTGATGTTACCTGAAGAAGCCCATTTTGTCAATTTTAAGTATTCCTGTTACCTGTCAATTAGTGATAGAAAATATCTTTGGCCTGCATGTAATCATGATAAATCTCCTGGTTTATCAGAGAATTAAATACAGCACAATGTGGGCAGGATTTCTTTTCTCCTGTCAGTTGTACCTGTTGTGAAGGTAAGGATTTCACTGGATTTTGAGGTGAATATTTTCCTAGCATCAGATCTCTCTCACTAAAAAGCAAAAGTCCTCTCTCCACTTTTGGAACCCCCTCAAGCTCCTGCTGGGATCCCTTTTTGTTTTTTCTGCCCTCAGTTAATCTAGCTTTTCCATGATCTACTTTGCTCACCTCTGCTCATTTTCTAGTTATTCCTTAGCCTGCTGCAGGTGAACCCCTTTCCTCATCTCCCCAGGGAAATGTCTTACCCATACTCATTTGAATTGATTGTCAAATTGGATGGATATCAAAGTGGAGATTCTTAAGCTGGGGCTCCCAGAGGATGTCTTGTTAAGCTGCAGAGACCCTGTGGCCTTCTTGACAGGGCACATGGTGTTAACTGTTTTGTCTGGGGAGAAAATAACATACTGTTTGTCATATACCCAGTGGGGTTTGTGCCCTAAAACTAAGAATTTTTGTTTTAAAGTTTTTACTTCAGTTGATGTTTTTGTAGTTTTCTACATTGTTAAAACTTGCTTTTTTAAAGTTTCTACTTGCTTGGCTCACTTGGCCATATTCTTTATTGATCTTCTCTGCTGCTTCCTCTTCTCTCTGGTCAGTTTTCTTTTTGATTCTACATGTTTATGAAAATGATCGTCCTTCTTGCCATAGCTCCAGCTACCTTTATTCATTCATTTATTAATTTATCCAAGAATTTTGATGCCTTGCTCTGAACAACCCTCTGATAGTCTGTTTCACTGAACCCATTTTGTGTCATGTGATACATGGATGCATAGTTGTATGTGTAGCTGAAACTAATTAAGTATGTAAAGAGAGGAAACCATTATTCTATAAGACATGCTAAGGGAAGAAATAGGATTTTGTAATCAATATTAAAATTACCAAATAAACATTTACTAAATGACTATTAACCTAGACTTAATAAAAGGATCATCATCTATTCAATTAATCAAGCTAGAAGTCATTTTGTTTGGAAATTTTAATATTGATTACAAATCCTATTTCTTCCCTTAGCCTGTCTTATCGAATAATGGTTTCCTCTCTTTACATACTTCTACTTAATTAGGGTAAGCTGTTATCCCTTATTTTTGAGCTCTTCTACCTCCTTATATCAGAGCCAAGGTTGCTTTAATGAAATGCCATTTTTCTTGTATAACTGCAGGGATAAAGAACTTAAGTGACTCCTTTTTTGCCCCCAGTCAAAACTCTTGGATTTTGAGATCTTTGGACAGACGTAGTCACTGAATGTTTGTGTTCAATACTGGTCCATCTCTGCTGTTTCTCATATTTCTTGTTTATGGTGCTGTGTGTGTGTGTGTGTGTGTGTGTGTGTGTGCGTGCTTAGCTATTCTGACTTGCAGCTGTTTTTTTAGGAAAATTATTTATGGGACATTTTAAAGATTTATAATGAAGGTATAGTCCTTTGGCAAAGTTTAGTGTTTTCTTCTGTTGGGTACTTGGAGGCATTGCCTGGCCAGGTCTGCTTTAAATTCATTCATGACAGGGTTCTTTTGGATTCCTATGGTGATGTGCATTTAGGCTAGAATTCTGCAAGGACTTGTGCTTTTGACAGCTTTTGAGAGATGGGTTTCCTCTACTCACTGTCAAGACACTTGTCCTGAGAGTGGGTACTTGGATTCACTTCTGGCTCACCCTTGCAATGAATATATAGTCTACCAGGCTTTCAATCTCATGAGGGTCTGGTTTTCTGATGGGTTCCTTATCTTAGAGTAGCATAGCCTTTTTTCCCACTGAAGTCCATAACTCCATTTCTACTTTAGAAGAGTGCCCTCATAGCAGAACTGGTTTCCCTTAGCTCAGATCTTGAAGTATCTGCCTCCATATAGATTGTGCCTTGATCAATCTGAAGCTTTTAGGATTGAGTGTGTGACATATTGTAATGATTTCAGTGGATATTTATGTCTGGTTAACTTGAAAGTTAGTCTTTTTCTGTTTTCTGAGATGTTGTTTTAAAAGGAATTTGTCACCTTGTCTCACAGTGTGAATGCATGTAAGCTTGTTTTCTTTATTAAGAAATGTGAATTGTTTTTTGTATTCAGATTATGGATTGTTAACAACACCCCAGCTGCACTACATGGTATGTTGTCGAAATACCAGTGGCCAGTATGGAATGGCAACCATAGAAGGTTACTACCAGAAACTCTCCAGGGCTTTTGTGGAACTTACCAAACAGGTGAAAAAAACTTTTGAACATGCTTAGAAGTTAAACAACCTGAATAACATGATCAGTGAAACAAATGACATTTTGGCACCCCACTCCTTTCTTTTCCCCAAATGTGGCTTATCTCTGTCTTCTCTCTAGGGCTCCACAAGTCTGTGTGCCTTCTAACTATATGTTGGTATTTGCTTGGCAAGGCACATAGTATATTTTGAGATCATTGAGGGAGAAAATGTAGGGTTCTTGTTTACAGTTATCATAAGTATTTACAGAGATAAAGTTGAGTGTTGTTGGCTTAGTACTTGAGAAATTAAGGAGGTAGTACTGTTGAGAAACATTTTCTTCTAGGCATATAAGCTTGTTAAACTTGGAGAGATTTGAGGGGAATAATTCATTTGATCAACAAATACTGTTAATGGCATAGTTTAACCAAAGCAAAGCAAAATATAACACTTCTATTTTGGGGTGAGGATGGGTGGCAGAGGATATGGACAGTTTAAGAAAATAAAACAAAATATGCCTGCTAATGATATATGCTGTGAAAAAAATGACACAGTTGTTATTACTGTTCTTTTGTCTATATGTACATGTAGATTCTCACATTTGAATGACTGTTATATAATATAGGCTATAATGTTTTTAGGGAACCCTTACTCAGGCAAATTCTAATAAAGCTTCATTTCTACAAGTTGTTCAATTGGTGAACCTATTCCAGTGTCTAGGGTGTTTTTAAATTTTATTTGGCTTTTCAGTTTTCATCTGAATGTATTTTACTTCAGTTTACCTGGTTAAAATAGATAAGTAAACGGAAATAATGGAAGATGTTTTATCATATATGTATGTATACTTTCTTTATATTTCACTTTTAATTTTGTAACTTGAAAATTTTCTTCCACGTCTTTTTACTTTCCAGGCTTCCTGCAGTGGGGATGAATATAGATCACTTAAGGTTGACTGTGCAAATGGCATAGGGGCTTTGAAACTGAAAGAAATGGAACACTACTTCTCACAGGGACTGTCAGTTCAACTCTTTAATGATGGGACCAAAGGGAAGCTCAATCATTTATGTGGGGCTGACTTTGTAAAAAGTCATCAGAAACCTCCACAGGGTACGTAGTAATAGGTCTATAAAAACTATTTTGAGAACTGGAACCAGTCTCATTTACAAACCAAGATGGCCACTTGTATTAAGAATTCTGTAACTGTAGGGCGCTGATGATACATGCCTGTTATCTCAACTAGTAGGCTGAGGCAGGAGAAATACAAGTTCGAGGCCAGCCTCAGCAAGTTAGTGTGACTCTAAACAACTTAGCTCGACCCTGTCTCAAAATAAAAAATAAGAAGGTCTGGGGAGGTAGCTCAGTGGTAAAGTGCCCCTCAGTTTAATCATTGGTACCCCTGCCCCCCAAAAATTGTGGAGCTGGTCCTGGCTCTGCCACTTTTGGACACTTATGACTCTTCCTACTTGTCATTGCCATTCAAAACATGGTCTGCTCTTTTTGCCTGTAAGTCATACCCATGCTCAGAGTCCTCCTTCCTGTAGGAAAGAGGAAAGGGAAAGCATAGCCAGAGAGTGCCATTCTAGAGCAATGGTTCTCAAATATCAGCACACATTAGAATCTTCTTGTTAGCCTGAAGATTTCTGGGCCCCATTCCTGAGCTTCTGATTTGCTGGATTTAGGGTAGGATTTGCTTAGGATAGAAATTTGCATTTCTGTCAAGTTTCTGGGATTTGATGAAAGTGCTGGTCTCTTGACCACAATTTGAGAATCACTGATCTAAAGGTAGCAATAGTAAGTAGCGTTGTCTCTCCTTTTGTCTGCATTAGATACACTTTAGAAAGGGAAGGTAACACTGCTTCTGTAATTGTCCTTGGACTTAGGGTTTTCCACAATGGGCAAGTTAGGAGGAAGACTGTTCTTCAGATTGTAGTTATAGTGTAGAGATGTTCTAGATTTATCTTCATTATAGATCCTAAATTATTATCCTACAGTGGGCAAATATGGCTTGCAGATTGTTTTGCTTGGTCTGCTAAGTTTGCCCACATATTAAATTGCATTAGGTGCCACTGTGTAAAAATTCAGTGATTTCTTTTAAATATTGCTGTCAACTCTTTACCAAAATCACAAAATGTCTATTCACATGTCATTAATCTGTTGTTACCCCTTCAAATAGGACATTCAGTCTTGAACTCTACACACTTCACAGAGTTGTGGCACTTGTTCATTTATTCTGCTTTACTCTATTAAGCATTTGAAGTTTCAATTTAGTTAACCCATTTGATCCCCTTTTCACTGAATTGCTTATTTTGACTTTACTGATGCTTTAATTCTGTATCACTCATTTATCCACATACTGAATACTGAGCCCTCACTCTCCATTGCTCTAGGCACTGGGCCCTTAGTGTTCATAAAACCATAGCCCTCACTTTCCTGAAGCCTACATTTTGTCCTGTAGGTAACCTTTTATCACACTCATGACAAAGCCTTTCACTTCTGAGCTGCTTCATGCTGGCTTTCTTACTGTGCTGCTATCAAGGCTAAGGAACAGCCAGATTTTCTAGTAAATTTGATGTGATAGTTGCTAAACTTTAAGTAACTATGTAAATTTCACGAGCCAGTTTTCTCTCACAGATGATAATTCTTTGCTTTAATAGTGTATGTTGTTATTGGTGTTATGAAAAGATAAAAACTTCTATTAGAACTGTCAAAGCATATACCTCATTTATTACTGATTTTTTTTAAATATGTAAAGGACAGCACAGTACTGGATAAATTATATTCAGAAATCCCTGTAGCTTTCAAAAAAAGTTAAATGAGAAACCAGTCTAGCCAAAATGAAATTTTAATATTATAGCAAGTTAACCATAAATAGATTTTGTTCCTTTTTCAATATGCTTAGAAAGAATTTTACCTGTAAAAACTGCCAATGAACTGGATGCTATTTTAAAAAAAAATTTTTAATAAGGATAATTTTAAACATCTTTTGGAAAATTTATAGTAGACATGTTATAATGCATAAGGGTAGTTTCACTCATGCTTTATTGAAAAAAGTTTCCCTAGTTACTAGTGAAGACAAAAATCCCAAACTTATTTTTATTTTGAGTTTCATTCCCATTTCTTGGACTGAAATGCATATTCAATCGTTCTGTGTGCTAGGAATGGAAATAAAGTTCAATGAAAGATGCTGTTCCTTTGATGGAGATGCAGACAGAATTGTGTATTACTACTGTGATGCTGATGGTCATTTTCATCTCATAGATGGAGACAAGATAGCAACATTAATTAGCAGCTTCCTTAAAGAGCTCCTGTTGGAGGTATGATAGGGAATGGGCTGCCCTATAAAACCAGAGGTAGTTCTGTATCACTTACTCGGACGTCTCATAGGCACAATTTATGGCAAGTTCCTTATGTATGTGGCCAAAAAATACAAAGAAGATGTGGTAATTACAGTCATTTCAACATTGGGGCATTGGTTTTGAAACCTGAAGTTTCTCTTTTCTTCCTGGTATAAGCTAGGATTTATGATTTGTAGTTTTATGAGGTTATAAAGTTTTCGTTTCTTTATAACTGACACATTAGTGAGAATTCTACCTGTTAGCCTTAAAGCCCAAAATTCTAACAGAAAATATCATCTGAGATTTATTTATTATGATTATAAGCTTAGTAATGTGTGAGATCCCCCACTTTTTGGAAATCTCTTTCACTAAGTTTAAGATATAATCTGGAAAAGTATATTTAAGAACTTAATACATAATTTTATTAAAAATTTAAAGAGATAGAGATTAGGAGACCACAAACTTATTTAAAGATGATTCCTTTTAAGTAATGCTGAAAAATATTTGAGGTTTTTTTCCTGGTATACATGTAAAATTTCAGTAAGTCATTTATTGATTCAGCAGAAATGGCAGATAATTTTGTTATCCTTTAGAATTCTCACTGTGTTTGTTTTTGTAAACTACGCTTTTGATCTCAAATTATTGTTTTTATCTAGATTGGAGAAAATTTGAATGTTGGGGTTGTACAAACTGCATACGCAAATGGAAGTTCAACACGCTATCTTGAAGAAGTTATGAAGGTATTGAACCATTTTCATTTTCTGGTAGCTTCTTAATTATGCTGTAAACTACTTCTGTGAGGAAAATAATGTCTTCATGAAAGTGAACACATTGTAGTGTATGAAGTTGAGCTATTGTCCATGTAAGGGTAAACAGAAATCAAAAACAAGCAAAAAACTTATTTGTTCCTGATGGAAAAGGGAGAGGAGAGACTTTCTCTACTCCTCATCTCAGAACCAAATAAGCCAGTTTTATAATCAGTAATATTTTTCTTAAGGGCTTGGAGACATCTCAAAATAATAATAAAAAAAAATTATTAAGGAAGACAGCACCTCTGCCCCCAATCTCATAGTTTAACTTAGATCTCTGGCTCCAACTTGTAACTATTTGTCAGAGAGATAGAAATAGTTTGTTGTTGTTTTGTTTTTAATTGGTTCTTTTTAGTTATATATGACAATAGAATTCTTTTTGACATAATTATTAAAGCATGGAATATAATTTGTTCTAATTCAGACCCTAGTGCTTCTCCTTCCTCTCAGAAGCAGTTTTATTATCTCTTTGGATAAAGGCAGTTGGCCAACACAAATGGTTAATTACTAGGTAAATTTATGATGACCTTTTCATGACAAATGGTGTTACTCCTATTTGAAGACTAATAATAATGAAAAAATTATTCACAACACTTCTTAAAATGATTAAAGCAGATTTTATTCAGTTCTGCGGAGGGACTGCTCAGAGATTGCTGTGATGAAATTGTGCAGTGGAAAAGAGAAATTGAGGTCAACTCCAAATACAACGGAGAGAAGTGGAGATTTTATAGCTAAGGTGAAGGGTATATGTGTGGAGTGCTAGTGGTGGTCAGTGATGGAAAGTTACTGAGAGAAAACATGGGAAAAGGGGGATGTTCTGGCTAAATGAGATTCCTCATGTAGGCAGGCCAAGATGATCAGACATCTCTTGGGGAATGAGGACTTTGATCAGATATCAAAGTGAGGGAATTCTGTATATATTAAGTGGGATTGTTGCTAAAATTGGGCTCTTAGAGGACATGTTAAGGGACAGTGCCTAGTTGTACTGAAAGGAACCTGACCAAAAAAGAAGAAAATCTTTGTTACTTTTTATGTTGGGAACATGGAATGTTGTAAAATTGAAAATATCTACTTAGCTATATTAAAAGGTAGACTTTGTCTTTGCAATCTCCTTAGTAACTTGCCTATACATGTGAGCATCAAAGGCCTTAATGAAACTGTTTCCTTATACTTTTGTAGATAGCGTTGATTGATCTTGTTTCTAATTATTTCCTCAACATCTACCTCATGGCACCGTCTGTACCCCACTACATATTCTAAGAGGTAGGGGGTTCATGGACAGAATTAGAAGTCTGTTGCCATTACCCTTTTTATAACTAGCTAGAGTAATATTTTTCTAACTTTTGTGTTACCCATTTCAAATTCTGGTAGGATCTGGATAGCTGAAGTGAATGTGCACAGCAGGTGATTAAGGACTAGAAGTGTGCCCAGGCCAACAGCTGTCAGCTTTAGTCAGATTCTTTTAAGTGGAATATGAATTTTCACGTGAATTTATTTTTTTAAAAGATATAATGGATATGAAAAGCAAAGTGGACACTGCTAGTTCATGACCTGATTTAAATGTACAGTTACAGTAAACTTGATCTGGAGCCCAGCTGCCTGCCTTTCAGGATTCTTAGTATTTAGGTATTGTTAGTATTTATTTAAGGATGGGGATATGTTCTGAGAAATTTGTCAATGTGTCATTTAGGCAAAATATGTTGAGTGTACTCGATGCAAACTAAGATGGCTACAATGTCACTGGGTGACATAATCTTATGGAACAACTGTAGTAGATGCAGTCTGTTGACAAAAACATCATCATGTGGTGCACAATCATATTTTAATTGTCAATTTATGTCTTAAAAACGTCTTAAAGGTAAGGTACCTGTTTTAAAACTGAATACACATCAGAAACCCACTCTCTTTGGATTAAATATTTTTAGCCTTACTGTTCCTGAGCTCTACTAAGACAAATGTGGATCTTGATGTCTCTTTTGTAGTTTTGCTATGGTCAGTTCTTCTACCATTCTTAAATCTCTACTTATGACATCCCTATCCATTGTTGCTAGTCCAATCACTATGATTTCTTACTGGGATTGATCCTGGAAACCTCCTAACTGATCCTGTTTCTTAACCTTAAGCCAGGAGTTGGCCTGAGAAACAAATCTACTTTGCTACTGTTTGTAAATAAAATTTTATTTGTATAGAGTCTTGTACATTTGTATGGTTCCTGGCTGCTTTTATACTACAATGGCAGAATCAAATAGTTGTGAGAGACATTATGACTACAAAGCTTAAAATATTTGCTATCTGGCCCTTTACAGGAGAAGCTTACAAACCCCTGCTATAAGCCGTTTTCTCCATACTGTAGCCTAAACAGTTTCATAAAGCAATTAGATCACATAGTGACCCCACTTGAAGTCTTTTGTTATCTTATTAGGACACCCTCAGCTTTGTCACTTTGCTATGAGTTTCTAGTGCCTTCACTCCCCCATACTGACACTGTTTTGTATTTTAGTGCTTAATCATCTTCCTTACTAGACTAAGGTCCAGATTTTGTTCTCTGTTTTATCCCTGAGATAGTAGGTATATAATAAACATTTATTGTGTTTCCTTTCATGTGTGTATTACAGGTACCAGTTTACTGCACTAAAACCGGTGTAAAACATTTGCACCACAAGGCTCAAGAGTTTGACATTGGAGTTTATTTTGAAGCAAATGGGCATGGAACAGTAAGTTCTCAAAGATCCCATCTGGCCTTAGCTGTACTTTTCTTTATAATGGCAAAGTTTTATCTGGGTGGTAATAACTAATATTTACTTTGTTGAAATGACTAGATGGAGGTCATAAGATTTTTTGGTTTGTGTATATTTTCAGGTGTTGCGAAACTGTTTCTCTTTTAGATTATAATGATCTTTTGTGGAGAGATACACTAATTTGTTCTTTTAATAATATGCAATACTTTATTTTCTTATAAGCAGATTATCTTTACATTTTCCTTTCACTAGCCATAGGAGGAAAAAGTTCAGTAGCTGTGGTGAATTAAGAGTTATAATTTGAGGAATTGAGTTTAGTATTTTTTAAAATATATTTTTTGTTGTTAATGGATACAATATCTTTATTTTTATATGGTGCTGAGGTTCAAACCCAGTGCCTCACACGTGCAAGGCAAGTGCTCTACCACTGAGCTATAGCCTCAGCCCCGAGTTTAGTTTTTTAATGGCTTTTTGTGGGGGATACTGGGGATTTTGAACACAGGGGTGTCCTACCTCTGAGCTATAGCCCCAGCACTTTAGTTTTTGAGATAGGGTCTCACTAAATAGCCCAGGGTAGCCTTAAACTTGCAAGTCTCCTGCCTCATTGCTAGGATCATAGGCATGTGTCATCATGCCTGACTGTTTTTATGGCTTAGCAGAAAGAATATTTTGAAAAATTTTGACAAAATTCACATACCATAAAATCCACCTTTTAAAGTGGGTTTTAGATTCCTGAGGCACAGGATTCTTTTTTAAAGCCTAAATGAATTTGAGGTGGTGAACAGAACATTTGAATCTAGGTGCAGTCATTTTCCTCATTAATTCAAAGTTGCCTTCTGGAGGCCATAAGTATAAGGAAAAGAATGAGAATAATATGTTCCTACAAAATGCAATTAAGATATAACTTCACTGATCTAATGCAGAGGTTGGTAAATGGTTAAGGGTAGGTAGAAAATAGTTTCAGCATTGTAAGCCATAAGGTCTCTGTGGGAACTGCTTAGGTCTGCTTCTATAGTATAAATTAATGGGTATGACTGAGTTCCTATAAAAACTATTTACAAAACAGGCAATCAGCCTATATCTTATTTTACCAACAAATATGTATCTCATCAACTAGTTGAGTAGTGTGTTACTCCTCCTCAGTACTGGGCTTCTTGAGGGCTACAAAAGATTGGGTAGACATTTCAAAATAACAGGAATCTTGAACATGTTTATTATTGATAATCTGTGACACAATCTGCCATACTGTGATAAATGAGCCTTTTTTCTCATGTTGCTTAGCTAGTTATCCTTTAAAGGATATAGGCAGGCTTAAGTAACCCGCATTGCTTTCACTGATACAGGGGAAAACAGAATCAACTCTTAAGTATTTATCTTTTGTTAAGGGAGTATCATCTTCTTAAATAGCTGTTTAAATTTTATGATATGCCCCCACTTTTTTTTTTTTTTTTAACATTGCCAGAGATTGAACCAAGGCTTCACACATCAGGCAAGGCTCTACCACTGAGCCACATTCCCAGCCTGATAACCAGTTTTATCATGCACAAACTTTTCTCCTATTAATACACTTTAGGTTTTGATCTTGAATTAATTAACATAAGGCTGGCATTATTTTCCCCCTTAGTTTCTCCAGATTCACTTACAGTGCAGTCAGTTATCTAACATGATATTACTTCTGACTGTGGCCTGGATGGTGTTTTGTGATATAATATGCTTGTCTTGTAGGCGCTGTTTAGTAAAGCTGTTGAAGACAAGATAAACCAACTTGCAAGAGAATTAGAAGATAAGAAAGGAAAAGCTGCTAAGATTCTTAGAAATATCATTGACTTGTTTAACCAGGTCAGAATTAATCGTGGGATTTTGGTTACCTTAACGTTATTTGGAAGATGGAAAGGACAATGTGTAACATTAAAAATTTAAGTGAAGGCAGCCTGGGCTGGTGATGGCATATACAGTTGAGAGTTACAGTGAAATGGAGTGACAGAGATTTTTTTATATGCTTCCCTCTGACTTGTTGAATTCAGCAACAGTATGCGTATACGTTACTAATTTTTAAACCAACAAAATAATTCTTTGACAGGGGACATTTATATTGCTTATATAGTTGATATTAGAGTGGAGCATGGCTATGGAGGAGCAATAATTGAGACAGGGAAGTTCATTAGTGATGGAACTAACATTTGAGTGTCTTGTATAATCCTTGCAGTAATCAGGGAAAAGTGGTTATTATAATTTCCATTTTAAAAATGAAGAAACAAAAGCTTGTTTCTTTAAAAGTTTCAGTTGTATCTTACACCAGAGTTCATTTTGTCCATTTTACCATGATGCTTTCCATTGTACAGCTCAAAAAGGCTCAAAAGGAAAATTTGAGTCAGGCTGAAACCCTAAGTTATCCTTCTAATTTTATAGGTGAGAAGACAAAAGGCAAATTTCTTATGAGTTAGTTTCAGTATTCTTTGTATACCTTATCTTTCATGGATATCTTTATCCACACTCTAGATAATAATCAGCATGAGGACAACGAGCACTGGACACTATGCCTGATTTTCTAAGATGGTGAACATTCACCTGCAAGTTTTGCTTGTGTTAAGAGTGGTTTCTTCTGTTTTGTTTCCCAATCTTGCAGGCAGCTGGTGATGCTATTGCTGACATGCTGGTGATTGAGGCAATCCTGGCTTTAAAGAACCTGACTATAGAACAGTGGGATGCTCTCTATACTGACCTTCCGAATAGACAACTCAAAGTTAAGGTCTGAGAGAGATGATTTTTCTGAATATTAACTAAGTTATTCTAAATCTTGCTATATAAAAATTTCAATGTATTATATTCTGGCCTATACACATTACTTAGAAAATAAGGCCTTATCTTTCTCACATCTTTAAAAATTATAGAATAACACTGATAAGTATTTGGTTTTAAACTTTATTTTAAAGAATATTATGTGTACCTAGTATCACTTTTTTTTAAATATGGAAAAGTTAAATGGAGAGAAAACAAAATCATAAACTGTGTACCTAATTTCAACAGATTTCTGTTATGACTCTATACATTCTGAATATCCCCCATATTATTTTTATAGCTCGTTGCTTCAAGTGAAAATATTTCCTCTGCATTATTTTTGGTTCACAAATACTTCTTGAAAGTAGATGCCGAGAAATAGAATCTATGGGCTCAGAAATTTTAAAAGTCATTTCAGATAAATTCCTATTAGATTAGTATATAGATTTATATCAGACTATACATTTTCTATTAAAATTATTGAAAGAAAGATACTAAGGCCAGAGTTCACACAAATGGCTCCTGATTACTCAATTTGTATTTGGCATATTTCATAGCCCTCTTAAATCATTTGATCAATGATTACACTGGGATCCAAGGTATGATGTAGAATTAAGTCATACAGTATTTACTGGCCATTATTTTAGTGGTAGCTTTGAGTCCAAAGGTAATTCTTGAAGAGAGAAGTTGTACAAATGTTGAAATAAGTAATTCTGACCTTGGAGAAATAAAATTTTAATGCAATTTCATCTTCTGTTTACCCTGGTACTTCATTATTTCAGTCATGTAATTTGTGGTACAATAAACTGAAATATTGTTATTAAAATGAACGAGGTATAATCTTCTGGTGGGAATTATGTTGAATGGGCTATACTTCTGAAAGGGAGTATAATATAAGGAGTATGAAATGCTTGTGCTTAGGTTGCTGACAGGAAAGTTATTAGCACCACAGATGCTGAAAGACAAGCAGTTACACCACCTGGACTACAGGAGGCAATTAATGACCTGGTAAAGAAGTACAGGCTCTCTAGAGCGTTTGTCCGGCCCTCTGGTACAGAAGATGTCATCCGAGTGTATGCAGAAGCAGATTCACAAGTAAGCTGGGATATAATTCTATTGAAAAAATTTGAATGAGAGCCTAATAACATGGAGGGAAGGGGAGAAACAATATGAGAAGAGAGAAAACCAATAGTATTTAGAATCTCACTATGGTAATTGTTATGTCTTTGAGATTTGTTTATAGAGCCTTTTAGAATCATTAAGAGTATAAAATTATCATGAGTAGTAGTGACACAGTTGAATAGATTTAGAGCCCGTTGGTCTAGTTCCCCTGATATTTTTCTTTCAATTTATTGTAGACTTCTTGAAAGTGTCATATTTCTTATGGGAACAGGAATAAGTAATAAACCCTTGGTTTATACACTGAGAAGTAAATGATCCTTTTTTTTTTTTTAAACTGGGGATTGAGTCCAGGCATCTTCTACCACTGAGCTACATCCCCAACCTGTATTTTTTTTTTTTTTTTTTAGACAGGGTCTAACTTAGGCTGGTCTCAAACTTGCCATCATCCTCATCCTGCCTCAGCCTCCCAAGTAGCTGGGATTACAGACATGTGCCCAGTTTAGATTATCCTTTTGTTCTCTTAAAAACATAATCCTGTGATTTTTAAACTGCCAGCTTTGTAGCCTATTTCTAAACCAATTGGTACTAATCATCATGAGTTCTTAACTTGCTTTTTAACTGTTTGCTTTAAATAACAGCCTTACTCTTTGCCTCTGCTATTTCTAGATGGGGTCAAGTCCTGAGGTCTGGAATTACATAATTTGCCTTCTTCACATATACCATATTGTCTGTCACCTCAAGCCCTTGATAAAAGTGTCTGCATAACCACGCAAAGTACACTGGTTGAAGAGGGTCTCGGAGGCATTTCCAGTTAACTTATATAAGACCTGTATTATTATTTTTTAAACAGAAGCATAGGCCAGCTTGGAATACAGTGAGAATAGTCTTTATGGGTGAAGGAGAGGGTAGCTGAGTTGCAAGAGTTATTTCTCTTAGGCCAACTATGGCCTTCTTACCTGTTAAAGGGACTAGGTTTTATTGAATTTATTAAGTTTTGGAATAACTAATTTTATAACCTGAATTGATTAACTGAAAACTTACCTTATATAGAAGACTTTGACTTGCTTTCCATTTATCTAAGTGCCTTGGAATTTGTTACTGAAAGATGAAAAAAGAAGTTTTCATTTGAATATGCTAGTGAAACAAAATCAGGAAGTACCCTCCCCTAGAATGCAACTAAAATATAGCAGATGCCATGTCTTTCTCATTTCCCTTTATGTAATTTGCAGGAAAGTGCTGATAGCCTCGCGCATGAAGTGAGCTTGGCAGTGTTTGATCTGGCTGGAGGAATTGGAGAAAGACCTCAACCAGGTTTCTGAAGATAATTTTTATATTCTGAGAAAATGGATTTTTTAAAAGTTTTGACAAAACTGTCAGTAATGGCAGTATCCAGACATTTATAATGTACCTTATTGGTTGTTTCTAGATTTGTTTTTTCTAAAACACTACCAGAAAAATTCTTGAGAAATACACACACTTTATAACTTGTTAAAGAAGCTTACCTCTAATTTCATTCTCACTAATGTAAAAATGTTAGGGCATAAATATAATTTAATCATAATTTTGCAGTGTATGCCAGGAATAATTCATGCAGGTTGCTCAAAGATTAAATTTTATTACCACCTTCTTGTGATGTTTTTGGCATCACTGTTACCCAACCAAGATGCAACCATCCTTGATACAAATGGGAGTGTGGAAAAGATTTGACACAACCAACTTTTTCATGGGAGATCTTAATAAATATGAGATGACTTACCTGTCTGCTTAGCACCATCAGGAAATGAGAGGTGGTGGGGCCTGTGCTGTCTTTCTGAGGCTATAGGGTCCAACCTTCAGTTATTCTTCATGCTCTTAGTGAAGGTATGTGAAGAGAACTGAATCTAGTATGTTACTAAGCCTCTGATGGCAAAATGACACCATTCCAATACAAGAACATGATTCATAACAGAAAGGAAAAAGTCCCCAATCTAAATTAAACCGAGCCTGAAACCAATAGAAAAAAAAATGTGCAGTGTGTATTTTGCAGATTTAAGACAACTGAGGACAATAAAACAATGGACTATATATGTATATATAGATCTCTCATAGGCACCATAATCAATATGAGCCAACAATATTTAAACTTGATTCAGGTCACATCCAGACATTAGCTCTTATTTACAAATTTTTAAATTAAATACAACCTGAAGTGTGTTTTGTTACAAAAAAAAAAAAAAGAAAAAAGAAACTATACAACTCAGAGCAATGTGTCTGTTAGTTTTAAATAATTACATTTACATTTAAACTAAATGGAACCACTGGTGGTGCTCAAGTTTTTATCACTCCTTCGAGAAAATCCTTTTCTACCATCTCTTCTATTTTTTGCCTGGCTTTGCTGGAAAATGGTTTGTGGTTTTCCAGTTTCATGTCCTTAGTAGGGAAGGTGTTTGAGTAGAGGATGGGGCTCCCTGAGTGTCCTCCACACCGACTTGTGACTTTGCTGTTGAAGACTTGGCTGAGGACATTGAAGAATGGCAGCAGCTGTTCCATACTGCGCACCGTGCAGATGGTGAGCAGCAAGTGCCCTGGCTCCCAACCCAATGTTCTCCCTGAGTTATCTTCCTCTGGATTTTTCTGCAGAAAACAAAATTGAAGTTGTTATTAGACTATATGTTAGAAAAATTAAAAGGACCTAAACAGCAAAGTTTAAAACCCTTGCTTTTGAGGCCCTTTTAGTGCCATCTAACACCCCTCTTGTAGTTATATTTTCCAGTAGAATGCATAGCTAAGTTTATTTAATAGAAATGATTCTAGACAAATATAAAAGCTGATGGTATGCTTTAGCATATACTCAAAAAAGCTCCTAGGTTTTTGGATTCTCACTAACATAACCAAGGACTAGATCACAAAGTGATTATAAAAGAGAATTAAGAAAGGGACATATACAGCTTTATGTATTTCACCATTAGTAAATCAATTAATTTCCTTTTAACTAAGTAACCTAAACTTGCTAGAAGATAATAGCAGGGTATATAAGTGAATAATTACTGTCAATATTGCAGTACCAAGGAAGGAAGGGATCCTTCAGGGGAGACACTGCTATCATTTTCTGGGGAGGGAAGGAAAGCTGGACCTTGAGTCAAAGGAACTGGGTTAGTGCCCTGGCTGTGACATTTACTTTACTGTTACATACCTGGGCAAGATATATAAAGGTTCCTCATTGATAAAATGTGAAGTCAAATGAGAATGTATGTGAAAACTCAACTAAGGTAAACACCAGTAATTTCTTTATTAAGTTAATTCAAGACACTAATTAATACTAACAACTATAGACATCAGTCTATCTAGATCAAAAGATATGAATGAACGGAAGATGTTTAGATTTGGACAAAATTGTAACGAAAATAAAATAATGAAATAGATATAAAAAAGGAAAAAATCATTGAGACTTAGGAAAGAAAAGTACAGCTTGTCATATTCATTCACAAATGAAGTTTCCTTTCTAAGATCAGATATTGCTGAGAAACTTCCATTGTTTACCTAATTAATATTTTAACATCATCAGTTTCCTAGCAGAGAAAGCAGATGCAGATCTAGCTTATCATATGTGATATCAAGATTTGTTTGTTTTGGTGGTGCTGGGAAATGAACCCAGGGCCTTGTGCAGGCTAAATGTTTGTTCTACCACTGAGCTACATCCCAGCCCTGTTTGCTTTTTGTAAAATTTTAAGGAAAACATTTAAAACATAAGACTCCAAAAGCAAATAAGAAAAAAGACCTTTTAGTTTTTCATCTGTGGCTGAAAAAGTAAATACAACAACAAAACCCAGCTATCCCTTAAATTTTACTTAATTATTTAACCTTTTATCTAGATAAGAGAATGAAAGATGTTTTTGTATTTTCTTTTAACTATGATATTGGCTTTAATGAGACTGATTTTCACATCACTGACTATCCTTATTCAACTACTGGCTGACCACACCACCTCTAGTCCATTAAATCAAACTGTAATTCAATGGTAATCAAGGGGTATAGAGAGATGAAATTATCTTGAAGGAAAATGAATACCATGCTTGTACCTTTTATGTAACTAATTTCCAAATGTAAGTGAATGATGGTACAACCTTTCACTTATATTTCTATAAAGATATGCCTTTCTGAGATAAATTTTTTTATTTAGCTCTTTACCAAGAACACACTTTTATCAACGTTTCTGCTGTTTTTATTCAAAGGACTTTATCTTGTCCTCAATATTAAATCAAACTTGTTTCCAAACAAACTTATTTCCATACTGATGAATTCAAAGGAGAAATCATTTGTTGTTGTTTCCATACAAACGATTTCTCCTTTGAATTCATCAGTCTACCCATAGAGAAAGACTTCCTTCCTGTTTACCTCTCTTACACTTGTTGAAATCCAGACCTGGGTTTATGTTTCACTGTTTGGTCCAGATGTGGCAGCTCTTGCTGCCATATCACAAGCATCAAACAGCCACCCTCACCTGATGCTTGGCCATCTCCACTCCCTCCAAAATCACTGTTTTAAAGTCCTCCTCCTTGTCCTGTGGAAGGAAAGAGGAGAACTCATAGCCTTTGTTCCAGTGAAACATACGCTTGGCCATGAAGACCTTGTTTAAAGGGATTTGAATGGGAGATGATTTTCAATCAAAATTGTTACCTTATTCTGTAGGACAAGTTTTGGGCAAAAGACTGTCGTACTTATCCTTTAGATAAGGGAGGGTTCTTAGTAAATATTCTCATTACTAATGAGATAAAGGAAAAACAGGGCACATGCCTGAGATCATACAGATTTGACATGATTATTTTTTCAAACCCTATAATATCAAAGTAAAAGTAACTCCTGTCCTAAACTGTGGCTCCAACTTTCATTCATATTTTGTCCTTTTATTTTGCTTCTAAAGAAGCAACTGTGATGAAGTTCCTCATGTCCTTCAAGTAAAACCTTTGAAAATCACGTTCCTCCATTCTGCTTCTATAGTATGTGGACTTTGGTTTAAGAGCTGCTGCCTGCTTAGGGGACTTCATAGGGCCTGGCAATTTCTGAGTACTCATAGCACATACTGCAAACTAGATCTCACAAAATAACCTAGATTATCCCAAAATTTTGCAGTTTATTTTTCAAAAAAATTATACAGGACAAAATATTAATAACAAAGGCCCAATAATGAGCATGCCAGTTTCAATACTTTTTAAAAAATTTATTTATTTACTTATTCTAATCAGTTATATATGACAGCAGAAAGTTCTTTGATTCATTATACACAAATGGAGCACAATTTTTGACTTTTCTGGTTCTACCCACTGCACCAGAAATTTTCTTTTTTATTACTTTTTAAAAGTTTATATATGATAGCAGAATGTCATATAAATGACATTTATAATGACATATAAATGACATTTTCCTATCTCTGGTTGTATACAAAGTATATTCACAAGGTCAGTTTATGGAGTGCTTGCCTTGCATACACAAGGCCCTGGGTTTAATCCCCAGCACCACACCAAAAAAGCAAAAGAACAAGATTCTCAATAAGAAGCTGGCATGCTCATTTCTGAGTGTGCTCAGAAATAAACCTGATGCATACTGAAAGATGTAAGAACATAAGCCATGACATAGATTTTATAAATCTTATATTCCTACACTTACTATATATGTTTTAGATACATTCTCACTTTTTACCTTGAGGAATTTCTCTTAAGTGGATATTTTTGAGTTCCTTCACTATCTCTCTTACAGAGGTAATAATTTTGATCAGTGTTTTAAAAACTGCAGGTTGGAGGTAGGGTCTTGACAGCTATTAAAATGGAATACTGTATCAATAATAGGAACTATATGGAAGAAAATACTTCATTTTAAAGGCAAAGGTTTTTTTGTGAGAAATTTTAGATTCTGTTATGTAGCTATACTGGGTCAGGATATGGAATGCATGTCTTTTGGTCACAATCAAAATTGAACAAATTTTGAGCATCTACATTTTACTTTATATGAATGGAAAACAAATACTAGTGATTATTCCTCCCTTATTAATCTGATCAGGTTCTGAGTTTTGATTAACTAATCCTGTCAATTTATTAAACTTATGTATAATCTATACACAAACTTACTGGTTCATATTGAAGTCAATCTTACATTTATTCTACAAATCCCTTTTAGTACTGCATTTTTTCTCAATCAGCTCATATCTTTCTGATTCTCATCATGGCATTAAAATGAACACTATGGGTATATCCTTACAGAACTAGAGTGCTAAGTACTTACATGCATGGTTCCAAGATTTTTATTCTTTTATAAGTATAAAATATTTTAATCTAGATGTTATCAATGTACAAAAGACTTCCTTTTTCTTCTCATTTAAAAAATTAATAGGTAGGCTGGGGATACAGCTCAGTAGAGTACAGGACTTGCCTGGCATGGATGAGGCCCTGGATTCCACCCCAGCAGCACCACACATGCACAAATAATGATAACCAAATGTTCATTTAAGATCCACACAATGTATATTTTAAATTTTTATGAATATTAGGCTTATGGACATTAATTCTCAAAATTACTGTCTTCAAAGTAGCTCAACTTGATAATATCCTCAATTTCCTAGGAAATATTTAATACGAGCTTCACAAATGCAGTAGTTTCTTAATATATAACAAAAGTAGTTACATAATATGACAATACAAATACAACATGTAATTACATAACAGAACACACACAAAAAAATATTAATACCTTTGCCCTTTTCCGAAGAAGTTTGGCTAGTCGTACCACATAAGGTTTAAATTCTCGTTGATGTATGCCCTGCCTTCTGACTTCCAAACCTGAATCATCTGAGGCCTCTGGAATAAAGGCCCACCGGTACCTGTGTATAGAAGAATGATATCAGCATTCTTTGTAAGATAAACTTTGTGCCATCTAAGATGAGGCAACATAATTTTAGTAGATCATGACCCCACTACTTATAAAGATTCAAATGTCAGCTGTGCTTTTGGTAACCCTGTCACCTGGAGCACATTTCTTAACCTCTTTGAGCCTTTTCTACATCATTTAACATAGTATTAAGTACCTCAGGGTTATAAGGGATAAATAAAGACATGTAAACCTGAAAGGTGCTCACTACATTTTTCATGAGCACAAAGAAAAGTACTCAACACATGTTTCTTCCTTATTATCTAATAGAAAGTTCTTAAAAGGAAATTGTGTTTTTGTAGCTTATTATCTCTTTGTATTATAACAATTTGACAAAGACTTGATTTTCCAACATAGAATTGCTAAACGTTCTCTAACTTACACAGTAAGGGGCAAAGAACTGAAAGAATTTAAGAAAAATTTAAGTAGGACTTCTTTCATGCCTCTGTTATATTTTTTCTTATTTTTGTCTTTAATAAGTAAAATTAATGTCTGACAAGGGAAAAAATTGAAACAGTATAAAAGGGCATGCTAAAGAGAAAGGCAGTCTCCCTCCCATCCTATTATCTATTGGTGTATCCAGGTTCTTTTATTATATTCTTCCAGAGTTCATTCACGAAAAAACACATATTTTTGCAACCAACCATATCCCCTTAAAACAAAACAAAACAGACATGTTCGTTGCTTGCTTTGACCTAAGTATACATCCTGGAGACCATTCCAAGTCATATTAAACTCTGTTGTACCTAAAGCTACATAGTATTCCAGTATTAGGAGGTAGTCTTCGAATTCTAAAAGTGCCATAATGGTTACCCGCATATAATAATTACTTTATGCATTTCTGTGAGTAGAGTGGCACGATGAATCTTAACATGTAGTAGAATTACTGGCTTAAAGAGAGCATATATTTAAAATTTGATAAATAACCTCTTTGGAGAACAATTGTATAATATCAATGTACCCTTCCAACAAGAATGTATCTGTTGTTAAGGGTAAAAAGAAAGCAGCTTTTAGATTTTTACCATTCTGACGGTTACATATACATATAATTTCAATTGAAATTTCTCCTATGAGTATAGCTCAGTATTTCCCCCTATGTTTAGAAGCCATTCTTTTTCTTTTGTTCCTGAAGACTGAATTCAGGGCCTTGTGCATGGGAAGCACATGCTCTTCTGAAGCTACAGACCCAGCCTTGTTTTCCTTCCTTTTGGAGTAATAACATTCTGACAAGTAAAGGATAAAATCAGCTGGGCTCGTGGCACACACCTGTAATCCCAGCGGCTCACGAGGCTGACATAGGAGGATCATTGAGTTCAGAGCCAGCCTTAGAAAAAGCAAGGTGCTAAGCAACTCAGTAAGTCCCTGTCTCTAAATAAAATAGGACTGGGGACGTGGCTCAGTGGTTGAGTGAGTTCGATCCCCGGTACCCTCCTCCCAAAAATAGGATAAACTCATTTTGGTTCTTTTTATGGAAGATAAGTATATAGTTCTTGATATTCTTCCTGGAGCTCTGAAGAACAGAGTTTCTATCACTTTTGTGAATTTAAGTTATCTAGTTAATTTTAGAAACTTTCCTACAATTCTTAGTGTCCTTTTCTGAACTTCTCATAGGATTAACTTCAATTTCACAGATACCCAACCACTAAAATTCATCAAGAAGTGAATGTATATGATTTTCAAATGGAAAAAAAATTAAAAGAATAATTTCTAGTTCTTACCATAAAGTTTAATGAAAAGTAAGCAATTTTTGGAGGTTTAAGCATATCAAAATTTATCCTATTATTTTTCTATTCTAAAATGATGTAACATAACACTTGATGCAAATGTTTGACCTTTTTCATAAACTCTCAAATTACCTTAGCTACATTTGACAAAAAAAAATCTATTTTTACAACTTCAATGTGAAAATTTTTGGTGTGAAAAATTTATGTGAAAAACCATAATTAAATATATTTAAGCACTTATAAACAAGCCATGGTGAGAATTTTATCAGTTTCTCCCAACTCCTTTCAGTTCAATTCACTACCATTTAAAATAAAACAGTCTTGCTCATCTCTAATCCTTTCTCCACACTCTATAGCCAAAGTAAACTTTCTAAAATGCAAGCTTAATAGCATTCCCTAAAATGCTTCCATGGCTTCTTAGTATCCTTAGGATAAGGTTCACATTCTATAAAATAGATGACAATGCCTTACATAAATGGGTCCTTTCCCAAAGCTTTACATAACTGGGTCCTTTCCCAACCTCTTCTCTCAACATTGTGTTCCAGCAATACTCATCTTTCAACACTTAGAATATACCAGGTCTGCTCCTGCCTCTGTCTTCACACAGGTGCTTTCTTCCCTCCCTCAACTTTCACTCTTCACTGAGTTTAAGACTCCTTTTAGCGTCTGTTCTGAACTCTCAAAGCTTGGAGAGGATTCTGATGGGTGGCTTAACAGCATTCTATGCACGTACTACCATAATATCCATCATGGGTTGAACTGTGTGTCATCTCCACTGGACTTGAAGCTTGTGTCATAAACCCTGCTATCTCACATCTGGAGGGTACTCTGTTGACTGATGGTCTGTTAATCTTAACATATCCGTATCAAGCATAAACTTCCAACAACTGTTGCCCCAGCCCTGCTAAAAGAATTACATTTTAATAAATATTCCAACTTACACAAAATTAGTCTTAGATGTCAGTGACCAAAGCAAATGTATTTTTAAAAATATCCATTTAATAGCCTTGCTTTTACTTACATCTGAAACTGAGGAAGATTTTCAGAGGGCAATGCCAGAGCCAAATCCAAAAATTTGCAAGCAGAGAGATAGAGGTTTAACCACCGCTGGCTGTTATATGAAGTAGAAAAGCCATTACCTCCTGTATAGGTTGTCTCCAGGCCAGCCACAGAGGGGCCTGAGGTCCTGTAAGTAGGGGACAGTGCTGTCAGAGGCTGAACCCATTTGCCTACTGGGAATTCCTAGAATGTCTAACGTACCAGCTAATATTTTTCATAGTCATCCTGATAAAGTGTAATAGTAATCTAAATTATTGGTCATAACTAATTTTTGTTCTTTAAATTTTTAGAATGTAAAGACAGAACTTGTATTACACTTTGGAAATATAAAAATTCAAATTGTATAACCAAGAAACTTTATTACTACTCAGTTTCTTCCCCCTCAGATGGGGGGAAGCTTTCCATAATAATGAACATAGCTACTAATACAGAATACATTTTATTAACTTAGCACTGAAAAATATATTTAAGACAGTCTTAAATAATTTTTCAATTTATAAATCTGTAAAATTTTTGTATAATAAAAAATATTTAGCCATACATTAATAAGCTGCCTCTACTAAAAAGAATAAAACTATATTGCATTAAATTGGGAACATTCTGAAAGATCTGAACACATGGCTACCTTGGTTATAGGTTACCTGCCATAATAGATTTTGCTATCTTTAACAAGTTTCAAGGACCAGATCTCACTTAGCAAAATTAAGGTACTCATATAGCTGAAACAATTGTATTGCACTGAACTAAATTTGTGTTTAAAGATCAATGATGGTAGTTTAATTTAATCTACCATGTTTCAGGACTAAGTAAAATTACATTATATGTTCAATTAAATAATGTACTGATCATATCAAATAATCAGATAAAGTAGAATCTATTTTTGAGAAACACTGTGGGTAATTTCAGGGTAATAAAAACTAGTAAGAATACATTGAAATAAATTACATATTACCGTGAAATATCTTCATCGGCAGTGAGTTCCTGCTCCATCAATAAAAAGACCTGTACCTGAAAACCACAAAATAAATGTTAAATGTTTATTTAAATTGGATATATAATCCTTTCCCACTATCTTTAGGCATATTAGGACAAAAACAAATTTTATCATAAAGTTTTGAAATTGTAGTTTCTGAAAGGAAAATGGCAAATTTAGCTGCACAAAGCTTTGCTAATCATTTAGGAGAGTTTAGTAAAATGAGGGCAGGTTTTTTTGTCTTTTGTGATTATGGAACAGTCACAGTTATTTCAAAAAACTAAAAGCAAGTAAGAAAAGAAGAAAAAAATAAGAGCAAAGAAATATTAAAACAATTTTTTTGTGTGCGTGGAGAAATTATAAAGGTGGGTTTCAGAAATAAAGATTTCTCTTGCTCTACTCATCCACCTTTCCTTACTCTCCAAATCCTTCCTATAAAGATGAGGATGACTGTATCTTTGAGGGAACTGAATGGTATAGTTGGGATTTGAGATTTACTGTTAGGGAGTTCAGGAAATCTTTGTGAATGTCTGTCTGAAGCAAGTTTAACTTTTTGCTATCTTTGTAAGTGCTGCTCTTCAAGATGAGTATATGCCTTATGTCAGTCCACAAAAACCTGACTCAACATCTCCATTGCTAGAGGTATTGTTACAGACGGGAACCCACAGGCCACAACAAAGTTAAAAACAGAGAAGACAGTGGGCATTAAATCAGGTCAGATGAAGTAGGGATTATCATAAACCACTGGATTTCTATATTATATAACTGAAAGTTTAACTTCTAAGGATATGGAATCTGACTTGTGTTACTATTTTCCAGTGTAAAATTATTAGTAACTGGTTTAACTGAGTTCAGTTCTTTTCAAGATTAGTTTTTATCCAGTAAATCATGGAAGTTAATCACATGCTTTTATAATTCAGATTTATAACCTGATTGAATTAAAATTAACTCACAAGCTCTGTGATCATGGTAGGCCAGAGTGAGGTAAGATGTTGTGGAGACATTCTTAAAAGTAACACCCTGAAAAACAGGAACACTTGAGAATGAAGAGTTGGCACCTGGGGCAAACGAAGACTCTCAACCAATCTCTCTGAAAGAAAGAAATGCAGTATATTTTCATTGCTAAAGAATTTGAATTATTATCATATAAAACTTTCTGTGTGGTTCATTACTTCTCAAACTGTGGTAAGGGACTGCTTTTAAAAAACTGTAATCTGTTACAGATATTTTCATAAATGATAACAAAATAACTAGAAAAATAAAAACTAGATATATAAAATACACTATCATTTTATTATTAGGTTCAATACATTCTGTAAAATAGCAAATAATAGTTTAAAACATTTGTTCTGAATATAGAACAAATCTATCCTCTTATCCTAAGAGACTGTAGCACTGGTCCATAACCACACTGAGTGAACACTGATGCAGACTACTTAAAAATGGAAATCAAAGAACAGTGTGCATGTGAAATTAGGCATAAAGGGTTAGGAAAAAAGAAATCATTCGTCTTCTAGGAGAAGAGATAAATTTCACTAGGGAGATGACAACTATTAGGTTAGTTCCTGAGGCTGGAAGATGCACAGTACACTGATTTGGATAGCAAATAATTCTGCTGTGGGTTAAGTTCATCCCCATTGTGGTGCTATTTGGTGGCATGGGACGATGAGTGCACTGCTATCCTTTTTGATACAGAAGGTCATTTCATGAAGATTATCAAAGCCCCTTTACAGCCCTCAATACAGCCTTCAAATTATAGACCTCTAAATGTTACTTCTAGCTGCATTTACTGGCTTTACCTACATTCCGTGCCCTCCTTAAGGATGCAGGAGATGTTGTCCACAATGAAAAAAATGCTAACATGTCTGCCTGAGGTGGATTAGTCATAGCTTATACTCAAACATTAACTCCTAAGAAATATGAAATTTCCTAACAATCAATATCCAAACAATAAAACTGAGACCACATTTAGGCAAGCCCTACAAATGCAGTGTTGTTTTTAGATACTAGAAATAATATTTTTATTTCAGTAGAAGAATTTCCAATTACATAATTTCCCCTGTCAACCTAAACTTGGTACATTTCACCTCAAGTTACAATTTAGAGAAAGTATTTTCTTTTTTAAATATATTTTTAGTATATAGATGGACACAATACCTTTATTTTATTTGTTTATTTTTATGTGGTGCCGGGGATTGAACACAGTGCCTCACACGTGCTAGGCAAGTGCTCTACCACTGAGTCACAATCCTGGCCCCAAGAGAAAGTATTTTCTAAGGAAGAACAACAATAACAGCAAACCATAGTTCAGAAGGTAGAGAAAATAAAGAGTTTTGATTATTTACCTTGTATATCTGGAAGATACTTCTGGTACTGGTCAATTTCACTGCTAAAAATTGCAAATGCAAGTCTTTTGAGAAGCATGGCTCTCTGTTCTAGCTCCACATCTCTGTTTGCAAAGAGGTTAAGTGAACTGCTTTGAGCCACAGCTACACGAGCTGCAGAAAAGAAAGAGAAGAGAGAGATTATAACAAGATATCTAGTCAACTGAGAAAAAATGATTATTATTTGTTTATTTAATTTAAGGAGATGCTCTATGGCATTTCCTTGAGGTAAAGAACTTCGAACCACTCTGGCACAGAAGAGCTGGCAGATCCAATATACACATGCCCCAAGATCAAGTAGGAAAAATTATCATACACAGACAAAAGAAAATTTAGAACTATGGGTTTCTGAAGGTAAAGATCACTAACAATACCATTTTACAAAGTCCTTTAAATTTTATGCCACCTGCTTAAATCCTTTCCATTACTTTAAAAAATAATTTCCAGCATGACCTATCCTGGCTTAATTATCTCTTCTTCCTCATGTTTAGTTACTCCTGACTTACTCTACTGCAGCCATGTCTTGCTTATTGTTATGTGAATTTACTGAGTTTGTTCCTATCCGAAGGCCTTTGCAATTTTTGTTCGCTATGCCTGGAATATGTCTTTAGGCCTTTGCATGGTTGATTTCTTTAGTTTCACAAATATGAGCTCTTTAGCTATAATTTAAAATCCATCATACGTGGTCCCTATTTTATTTCCGTCACAATTTCTTACTCGCTGAAATAATTTTTAAAGTTTTGTTAAAAGATTAGCATAATGTCTGGCCCATTGTTTTTGTTTAATAAATTTATATTTGTTGAATAGGTGAAGTTGAAACTCAGAACAATTCTATGAAGATGGGAGGAGAAGAGAAAATATGGTGTCCTTTTTCCAGAGTAGAAAACCACAGCTTGGGCTAAAGAATTTACACAAAATCTTCTAGACTCATAAAATCTCACTGCTATTTAAGTTTATTTTAATAACTTTCATATTTTAAAAATCTAAAAAGCTTTTTTTCCTCAGAATAAATACAAAATAGAACCCTAATGCATAAAAACAGTCAAGACTGAGTATAGGGTGATTCTGACCTTGGCCCCTCTCCGTTCCTTCAGAGGAGATAACCGAGCCCTACAGATTTAGAGTGACCTGTCTCAGAGGTTTGGATTCAATTGTCTGCCCTTCTCTATCTCATCAACTGCCACACTTTCATTCATTAAACATTTACTGAATGCCTGTTAAGTGCCAAGTACTATGATATCTACAATTTAAAACCAAATTAGACATAGTCCCTTTTTGTCACTAGTTGCCTCAAAAAGTAAGCTGTTTTTCTAAGTTTTAATATTATATTTCCATAGGATACAATATACAGCTTGACAATGAGCTAATGCACTAGTTTCCAGAAATCAGCAAGTAAATAATGAGAATGAATTACATACTGCTTCCATTGTCACCTCACAATACTCACTCATTAGATCTCTAAATGTTGTCTTATCATGTGTCATCAGATTATCCATAATTGCTCTCCAACTGTAAAAGATTATGATATGTAATTAATATTTTGTTCTTCTTGTTATCAGTAAAGCATTCTAACTTTGAAGGATAGTAACTGACTTCAAAATACTGTGAGATGCATTATCACGTTGAACGAAAGCAAGAGTATGACATACTGATTAACACAAGAGGCATCCATCTGAAAAAAACTGGGATCCATGAAGAGGTCAAAGGCTTCTTTTTTCCAAGCTCTCCGTGTATACTGATACCCGCTAAGACTGCTGAGCAGCTGGACACAGGCTCGATAACTAGGTGCATTATGTGCACTATAAGAAAGAAAGACTATCTTAATCTCTGTTTTAATTTTAATCATATTAAATTATGTAATTGCTCACATTTACCCAAGCCAATAATGACATAAGGACACAAAATTGCACCATAAGAAAAAAATACATTAATAAAAATTTTAACTGTATAATAAAAGGTAAGAATGTCATCTTGTGGTTAATTACAAAAATGGCAGTAAGGAAACAGAACTTGTTTCTAAAGGTTATGAATTAATTTGATTCTATTTATAAAAATAATAATAGTACCTGTGATTTCGGAGGTAGGGAACAACATAATGCATAATGTTTACAAGTAAAGGAATAACTCGCTCCTTTTCATCACTATAGAAAACCATATCTAAAAGATGAGCCAAAACCTATAAAACATAAGGAAATTGAATAATCTATGAGCTGAAACATCATCTAGAAGCAACTTGGTTTTCAGTTTGTAAACAAACCTAGAACACCTTAAAATTAGAAAAATCTAAATGAGATCTCCTTAAATCATTTTTATATTAGTGGTTTCTGCAATAACCTGACTTTTTGGTTCCATTATAGCTATAGGATATAAATATGAACAGATTTTGCTATTTCTAACTGAGGTGGGTAAGTACAAAAAAGAGTTCAAAGAATCTTCTAATATGACAGTGAGTAAACAGTGAATTTAGGATGAGAAACTCATTTTCTTCTGAGTCAGTTAAAAGAAGGCTTGGAAAATCCAAACAAAGGAACTGGACTGCTCAAGTTCCAACACTGTCAATAGTTATAATAAACATAATAGTTACATCTATTAATAGTTATAATACATTTAGTCAAAATTTTGTCATGTTTTTAAGGCTCAGTGTTCACATCTGTAAAGGGAAAACATAGCTATATAACAGATAAAAACAGCTTGACAGAATGTATATGAAAATGTTTGCTAACAAGTAAAATGCTTAATAGTGAAAACATCATTATACTACGTCCACATTTCCTCACCACAGTAAAGCATGAAAGTACTTTTCTTAAAAAAAGACACTTTAAAAAAATAGTGCATGGGGAGAGGAAGTAACATCTAAAGCAATATCATAGGGAGGGGAAGCAACATCACTAATGTTGCATAAAATAATCCAAATATAGATAAGGTCAAAATCTTACATTTTTTTTTCTTTTTATACAGTGATTTCTATAAGTTCAAAGCTAAAAATTACAAATATAAAATTTCAAATTAAAAACTTTCCTATAAGGATTACTTGTTAATATGGAATTAATGTTTGCTTCAGAGTTCATATGAAAAAACTTGACAATGATTACCTCAGAGAGTAAAGTCAATGCATGGACACTATACACAGAAGGAGTTATGTTCGAGGTTTCCATTGCAGGTGATAACATATCTAAATAAGAGAAAAGACAGGTAAACATACTGGTTAGTATTTTTGCACTGAAAAAGGCTACTTGCTAATAATGAGAAATGGTATTAGTATATGGTACTTATGTACTAACTGAAATGACTTCTTAGTGAATATATACTTACAGATAATAAACCTAAAAGTCTGAGAGCAATACCTTCAACATCAGATTCCAAGTTGGTTCCATCCACCATTATTTTGGGAGAAGGCTTAACTTCCAGATTTCGTCGTAGCCACGTTGTTTGTTCCAGAGAGGAACCAGCAATTGCACCAATAGCGTCCACTATTTTATGAGTCACATCCTAAGGAAACCAAGAAAAACAATTATATATGTAGACATGCACACATACATTTAGATACTGTATGTATGTGAACTTTTGTAGTTTTCTATTTTTTGACAATAGATATTTTACAATAAACATTGATGGTTTTTATAGAATATTTAGAATTGGAAGAAATTTCACAAGTTATCTTATAGACCCTTGCATTATCAAGTTGATAGCATTGAGAAATACACTTTTAGTAATAGCTCTGAATTCAGGATGCCATACCTGAAGGTCTCTTTGGTCTTTTTTATTTTCCAAACTGGGATTTTTCATAATAAACTCATTCAGAACTCTAAAAGGGCCATAAAAACAAAACAAAAAGTATTAGTCTAAAGAAAATGATGCAATCTAATTTCTTTCAATAAGGGGCTTTGTGGCCTCATTTACCATTTGAAGTATTTCATATATATATATATATATACACACACACACACACACACATATATACATATACATTTTCTGTAACTCAATCAAAATGAACATATGCATTTAAAGACACATACAATGATAGTGTCAGCAGCATTATTTTTAAGAGCCAAAAAAACTAAAGGGAACGCAAATATGTTCGGCATCAGTAGAAGAGGCAAACTGTAGCACATTAATACAATGAGATACTAAAGAGCAACACAATCAGTTTAGCTACATGAATTGTAAGGATGAATCTCATAAACATAAGTGAATGAAAGATGCCAGATATAAGATAAAAATATTTATATATACCTATAGTTTGAAAATAAGGCAAAATCCATCTGAGATGTTAGAATAGTGGTTATCTTTGGTGAGATTAAAGAACACTAGTAGTTCAGAGAGGTCCAGAAGGACACTGTTTTCTTTTTTTTTTTCATGGAATTTTTTTTTTATTAGTTGCTCATGACAATACAATGATCTTGACATATCATACATTTGAATCAAATGGGGTATGAATTCTCATTTTTCCAAGTGTATAGGTTGCAGAATCACATTGGTTATACAGCCACATATATACATACAGCAATTCTAGTGTCTATGTTATTCTGCTGCCCTTCCTATCCCCCCTTCCCTTCCCTCCCTCCCATCACCTCTCTCTACCCAATCTAATGTGACACATTTCTCTCTTTTTTTTCTTCCCCCCCACCTCATCATACATGTATTTTGTATAATGATGAGGGTCTCCTTCTAACTTCTGTGCAATTCCCCTTCTCCCTCCCATTCCCTCCCATCTCTCTTCCTTATTTAGTGGTAATCTTCTTCTTATGCTCTTCCTCCCTACTCTATTTTGAGTCACCCCCCTTATATCAGAGAAGACATTCAGCATTTGTTTTTTTGGGATTGGCTAACTTCACTTAGCATAATCTGCTCTAATGCCATCCATTTCCCTGCAAATGCCATGATCTTGTTATTTTTTAGTGCTGCATAATATTCCATTGTGTATAAATGCCACATTTTTTTTTTTTTATCCGTTCATCTATTGAAGGGCATCTAGGTTGGTTCCACAGTCTAGCTATTGTGAATTGTGCTGCTATAAACATTGATTTGGCTAGACTGGCTCTAGCTCAGCGGTTCCTTTGACACAGAATCTACAACTGTTTTGCTTCTTAATCTGAGTTTGTGATTATACAATTGATATGCTCACTTTTTACATACTTTGAACTTGTGGAATTGTATACTATTTATATGTTTTTCTATATGTGTAAGCAAAAACAAAAGCTCTCCAACCTTAAAATTGTAACATAATAATAGTATATTGCCATGTATAAAAACAGATTAATAATCCTTCATGAAGAAAAAAATTTCCATTGTTTGAGAAGATTTTACTCAATATTTACTGATTTGATTTTTTAAAAGATAAATTATATGCATAATTATTTCCAAACTAACATTCAAAGAGCAACCTTTACACCAATTTCTATTTTGTAATTAGTGAATTTAGAGGATCAGTAGAATGGTTGGGAGAAAAAAAAAAAGCAAAGCCACCAGAAATTATAAAAAGGGAATTAGGTTTCTAGTATGAATAAAAATGTTCAACTCTTTAATGTTCAGTCTGAGTACACAAAGGAGATAGGGTCCTTTATTATCTAATAAAGGAAGAAAAGGTAGATAAGGAAACAAAAAAATCTTGTAGGGGAAAAGTTACAAATCACAATAGATGGTCTTAATTTTTTAATGAAATTAACCAGAAGAGTTATCTGGTGTTGATTCAGAGAACTATAGATATATTCCCTTTATGAGCCTTACAACTCCAAGTTAGGTAAGCATATAGTTTCTTGCCTGACGGATGGGAAAATAGTTTGGGAGAAGTTTACTAATGTACCGAAGGTCATAGAGAGGAGGGCTGGCACTTGAGATTAGAAAATCAGAAATCTTTATGAGAATGTTGCTTGATTCAAGTGTCTACATTTATTTCTCATCCTTAAAAATCATACACATTAGGTATCTAAACAACTTCTGACCCAGCAATTTCAGACATTTTGTCTACTGCTCTTTTCATTACACTGTTAGTATCTAAAACTTCTTCAGGTTTTGATTTAGATAATTTTCAAAATTGGTAGCATAAGGATCTAAGGATCATCATGATCACTGATTTTTTAAGCAGGATCTCAAGTTTACCATGCCTGGGCTGGACCCTGAGTATTAACTCAGCTATGGCATGATGATCTGTTCTCCCTAAGCTCTCCCCATCTTCCTATCATGTTTTCTCTGTTTACTGATGGAAGACTCTTCCCATATTTACCAGAACATTCAAGGTCATCTTACTGAATCCTTCCCTCCTCTTCCATTTCATAGACCATTGGTTGCCAAACTAAAATTATTAAAGACAATAAGCGGGGCTGGGGTTATAGCTCAGTGGTAGAGTGCTTGCCTAGCATGTGTAAGGCACTGGGTTCAATCCTCAGCACCACATAAAAATAAGTAATTAAACAAAGGCATTGTGTCCATCTACAACAACAACAACAAAATGTAAAAAAAAAAAAAAAAAAAAAAACAATAAGGGTAGAAGCTAAGTCTATGAATATATAATTGCAATCAACAAGCAAAATTGTTGGGGCTGGGGATGTGGCTCAAGCGGTAGCGTGCTCGCCTGGCATGCGTGCGGCCCGGGTTCGATCCTCAGCACCACATATAAACAAAGATGTTGTGTCCGCCGATAACTAAAAAATAAAATATTAAAATTCTCTCTCTCAAAAAAAAAAAAAAAAACAAGCAAAATTGTAACAGCTGTAGAAGTTGACTAAAAGTTCTTTCTTTATATTTGGTTGATTTTATAGCCATTCAGTGTGGTAACATGCTGGCTGTTATGGGCTATTATTAATAACATCACTGAGGTAATGTAAAAATGTTGAGAGAAAGGTTACCCTATACTCTCATCTCCCTTATGTCTTTAACAGTCCTTTTCAAACTTGGTGTGTGTACAAGCACTTGGTGATCTTGTTCAAATGCAATTCTGATTCAGGTCAGTCTGAAATGGAGCCTGAGATTATACATTTCTACCAAGATGCCATCTGGTAAACTGCAGTTGATTCCGATGCTGGTCATCACAGGACCAAATTCTGAGTAGTAAAGCCTTAAAGAAAAGCACCCTTCTTCCTCACTCTTAAAACTGTCATTTTCAATTCTTTATCCCCTTCCAGCTGTCTCTGAAATCTGGTACTATCAATGAGACCTCTTCTCTTTAAAATATGCTAGCACTCTCCACTTAGGTAACATCTGTTAATGGCCACGCAGTGTTCTAAGAATTTAACAAATATTAACTCATTTAATCCTCGTAACAACTTTAAGAGAGTAGGCACGACTATCATCCCCATTTTATATTTTTGTTTTATTGAAGTACTGGGGATTGAACTCAGGGGTGCTCTACCACAGTTATATCCCCAGCCTTTTATTATTATTATTTTTTATTTTTTAGACTGTGTCTTTCTAAGTGTTTAGGCTGGCCTCAAACTTGAGATCCTTCTGCATCAGAATCCCAAGTTGCTAGGATTACAGGTTGTTATGTGTCAGCACCATGAGAGAGATGTTAAGCAACATGCCCAAAGTCTCATAGCTAATAGGTAAAGGAGCTGATGAGTTCTATTTTGGTGGGCAGGGCTGGTACTGGGGATTGAACTCAGGGACACTCGACCATTAAGCCCCATTCCCAGCCCCATTTTGTTTTTTATTTAGAGACAGGGTCTCACTGAAATGCTTAGCACCTTGCTTTTGCTGAGGCTAGCTTTAAACTTGTGATCCTGTCATAGCCCCTTGAGCTGCTGGGATTATAGATGCGCGCCACTGTGCCCAGCTGGGAGCTGACAGCATCTTTCCTGGTAGCTACTCAACATCTGCAGCCTTTCCTTAACATTAAAAGGTCAACTTTTAAACCACATGTTCTGCTACACTCTCATTTATCTCTTTTCATTAAATAGCTTCAAGAATAATCCATTTTCACTCTAATCCTTTGCTGTTAACATTTGTTCTTACTACTTCACCAAATTTCTCTCTTCTAAATCACAATACCTCTCCAAATCATAAAAATATCACTCACAAATCTTTCTTACCTTTCTGAAGTTTCCTTTTAATCTACTTTTGTTCTTGAAACACTGAATAAACCTGGATTTCTTCTAATTTTCTGGTATTTCCTATTCTATCTCCATTGCTGGCCTCTTTTCCTTATTTGTCTTATTCTTGAATCTCATTGTCAATAGTTCACACCCTCCTCACCTCTCACTTGAAAAATAATTGCTAGCCCTGTCTTCCTGCCCTCTAATATAATCCTGCTTAGTAACTTGCCAGAGTCATGCTCCTCCTCAAACCTGCAATCAATCCATCCCCTACCTAAGACCAAATTACTTAAAATAAAATTCAAGGTCATTCCCTATCGGGCTCCCATCTCCTTTGTGACCCACACTAAAGTTCCACTACTTCATTGCCTGTACATTGCTTGCTACAGTGTACCCTTCTCCTCCTGTCTACATAAAGGCTTTCTGCTCTTACCACATCTATGTACTAAGCAAATATTTATTAGAGACCTATTATGAAGTAAGAATCATTATTCTGAGCAAAAAATATACTGTTCCTGACATGATGATGCTTGCTATTAAGTAAGGGTAACTGGCATTTATCCAACAATCATACAAATTAATAATAGAGATCAGTAAACTCCAAGACACACAGAGAAAGTGAGTTTCCAGTGAATGTTTATGATCATCTTCTAGCTCAAATGCCCATTCTCTGAACTTCCCATTCAGCCATGCCACTCACCTCTCTTCTTTCCATTCCCACATTCCCTCCAAGTGCTGTTGTAAAATTTTATGTTAGTGCATTCATAGCTTGTGTATGTGTAAACACACATTGTTCCCTCCCCTCATCTCCTTTTTTACAGGCTTATACATCTAGTTCTGCAGTAGGTAGAGATACTAAAACATCTGTTATTCAATCATGAGGAAAATAAGCATTATACTTTTATTCAAAATAATACATTCTACTATATCTCCAGTCCTTCAAAAATATTTTTTAAGTTAAATTACTTACCCAAGTATAAGAAACTGCCCTGGTGCTGGAAGACTCAGTTGTATAGAGTCTTTTAGAAGTATCAGCAGTGATGCCCAGCTATCCACTAAATTGGGCACTGGAATTCTGCAAGATAAATGTAGTTTGCATATATAAAAAGCCACAGTAAATTTTAATTTCCTTTATATCTTCCTGCAGTCTAACATATTTTTCTACTAGTGTCTTGGAAACATTCTAAATCCTTATAGACTAGGATAAATCAAAATTCCTAAAAGCATCACATTTTCTACTAATAATATATAAAAAGAAAACTGAGCACATCTGGAATACTTAGTGTGATTCTTAATATATAAATTTGGCTATACAAATTTCTTTTCACATGAACTCTCAAAAGTAAAATACAACTGCAATAATTTTCAGTTTAATTACTGACATTAGAGTCAACTACTCCCTACCCTGATAGACTTTCCTCTTATGTTAGGTCTTTCTCCTTCACCTATAAATCACCACCTCATGTTAGGGAAGGCTGTCAATCTATCTTGAACACCAGTCTCTCACCTGTAAAGTAATTAAGATGATTTTTGTTTCATCCTAGCTCTAACATTAACACCTTTCCATTATCTAAACTCATATTCCAGAAAGTCCTTGCTCTAAGTCACAATCAATTTAAAAACTCTAATAACTTAACTTTATAAATTATTAGTGATGAATCACAAGTGGACTATGAATTTGATTATTAAAATGTAATTACCCAAAGAGGGAGGATTAAGATTCAAGCTCCTAAGTAAGAATTTTATCAAAACTCAGATCCACTAACTTCTTCTATTCAGGGGTCAGGTAAATGCAAAATGGGACATCAAATAAGAAGGTATTTCATGTTATTCCTAAAATAAAAACTTTACAAAGCAGATTGGATTGCTACATGTTTACCTACATCAAAGTTATAATCAATTCAATGGAAATAAGCATGATTTCAAGAATAGCTTCAGCTTTTCACTGATATTTAAATGATTTTCTTGCAATTTAGTGTTTTAACATTTAGTTTTCTTCAATACCCTTAGGTCTTTTGACTTTAGGATTTCCATGGATGGGTCATTAGGATACCCACAATATCTATTAATATATTCAAATTCAGTGTTACTGTTTTTAGCATTTGTTCTTTTAGTTTTGGGGAAAACAAAAACAAAAACAAAAAGAACTAGAAAGAAAGAATGAATTCAGGTAACTTTCCTCTTATATTTCCTAACCTTTATACATCCTTAAGGAAAGATCCACATCAGTAATCTTACCTTTGAATATAAGCATAGAAAAACTGAAGCATGCAGACTTCCAAAGAAAGATGTTTCTATAAACAAAAGAAATCAATTTTATAGAGAAGAAAAATGTTGCCTTTGCTTTTTCACTGTTGTTAACTACTCTGTATCTGTCAGTTTTTAATAAAAAATTAAAGAAAGCAAAATCAAATGCAAGTTTATCATAAAAACATGCAATGCTCTTTTATTTAATAGAGAAAATTCATAATACAAGAGATATTTAAAAAGTTGAAAATAAATGGAAGGAATGGAAAGATTCTCAAGTTTTCCTCCCACATATCTAGAATTGACACTCTACCAGTCACTTTTAAATGATTACTCTGTATGTATCAGAACTATTTTTATTTTAAGTAGCTTAAGCTTGGTGTTTTGGTGGTATCAGGATTAGGTTGAGATATGTAACCAAATGTATACTTGTATACTATTCATATCTGTTAAATTAGTATAGTTGGTCAAATTTGGGATTTTTTTTTTGTACTGGGAATTGAACCCAGAGGTGCTTAACCACTAGGCAACATCCCCAGCCCTTTTTTATATTTTATTTAGAGATAGGGTCTCACTGAGTTGCTAAGTGACTTGCTAATCTGTTGAGGCTGGCTTTGAAGTACTGATCTTCCTGCCTCAGTCTCTAGAGTTGCTGGGATTACAGGTATGCGCCACTGTGCCTAGCAAATTTGGGATAATTATTAACAGTTTAAAATGTAGCTCTTAAATTAATAATACTACTGGTGCTGGGGTTGTGGCTCAGCAGTAGAGCGCTCGCCTAGCATGTACAAGGCCCTGAGTTTGATCCTCAGCACCACATAAAAATAAATAAAATAAAGGTATTTTGTCCACCTACAACTAAAAAAATAAATATTAAAAAATTAATAATACTGCTAAGTGTAGCACATAATAAAAAATACCTGTTCTTGAAAATTAGTAAAGGGCAAGAAAATGATATTAATGTCCATGGATATTTACACACTTGCTCTTTTTCATCCCCTCTATTTCTACAAAGGTTTTCTTGTTGATACCCAAAGAAGAATAAAATATCTATACCATTCCGAACTTAGTAAGGGGGCAGCATGTGGCATGGAGTCTGAATTTGTTTTTGTTTTCATAGCCTTCATGTATAGCCCAATATCTCGCTCAAAATATTAAGCTGAAATGAACTTTCACACACAAACAATAATAAATACTCCAGAAGTACCTTCAGAGTACTCAGGAAATTATTAAAAAGTAAGGATGCTACAAGATGTATCTTAGTGATATAGGTCTTGCCTAGCATGTGTGAAGCACTGTAGCACTGTTGAAAAAAAGAAAAGAGGGGCTCATAAGGACATAGGACACTGATCATTCAGAAATATAGACACCTTTTTGTCTTTGGCAATTCAAGAAAAAGTTACAAAAATAAGAAAATTTTAAAAAATCAACATTTTCAGATACATGTAATAATTATTTTAAGCATTGTTATTATGGCTATTTTGGCTTTGTTCAAAGTTCAATATTCATTGTTGGTAAATCTTCCTAAGAAAATGTGACCTCTTGGGATTGCTTGAACAAAGAGTAGGAAAAGTCGAAAATTATATAAGTTTCCTAAATCATAGACTTTTATATTATGTTAGAGACAAAGCAATGTGAGAGACTGTTCATTTTCTACAGTCCTTACAAAACCCAGTAACATATAGGGTCAAAAAATGACACTGTCTAGAACTAAGATTATGGCAAAACTTGGGAAGTTTACAGAACTGAAAGATTCATTCAGAAAAGAAAGCAAAAGGGAAGCTGTAAAAAATGGTAAGGAACTTTGGGCTCTGGTTTCTGTGTTCTTTAAACAACCAGAAAAATCTTCCCCAAGAATCTGGTCACATAGTTCATGACTGCTTTTGATGTACATATGGAGAAATGAGAGGCTAACTCCTCTACACTGCCTATGGGACTGATCAGACTAGCAGTCATTTCAGCCATTATTATTTTTTTTTTTTTAATTAAAGCAGTAACATACAGGGTTGGGGTTATAGCTCAGTGGTAGAGCCCTTGCCTAGTGTGTGGCACTGGGTTCGATCCCCAGCGTCACATAAAAACAAATAAATAAAATAAAGGTATTGTGTCCATCTACAACTAAAAAAAATATTTTTAAAAAAGCAGTAACACACAACTATCTTTGCAGTCTGCACTAGAGCTAAAAGGACATTGCTTATGACAAAAAACTCTTACCTATCAGCATCACTTCTGAGAATGAATTATGAATAAAAGCAAAGAAAAGGTTTCTTACTTTGTCCTTGGCTATGGCTGGAGGTTGCTTTAAAACTTCTTTCACAGTCTGGATAACAGTTTCTGCTCTCATGACACTGATTGAGCGAACGAGTTCCACCAGTAATAGCTGTTCATCACTGGCTGCAGGAATGACCTGGATAATATATTACTGTATTTATTTATGTATGTGTGCAAACAGTTCTACAGTCACAGAATTAAGAAAAGAATTTATAGCCTCTTTGTAACATAAAGAAGTCCCTTGGGTAACATAGGTAAAATTTATTTTATTAATCTATATAATATATATACATCATTTCAAAAAATCAAAATCAAAGAGGACAATAAGATTAGAAAAAACAGCAGTGCCTTGACCTATCCTTCTCATACCCCAAAGCAACCATGATCCATTTTTTAGTTCTTTTCTATTATTTCTAAATAACACATACTGGCATTTTTTCCTGTTTCATATATTTTAAAAAATTTACACATTGTCTAGATTTCTTAATTTGGAAGACCAAAACTTAGCTCTCTTATACTTTTATTCCTATCATTTCAACATATTTATGCTGTTTTTATTTAGATCAATATCTAATGTTCATATGACTATCTGCGGTAGTGCTATATATTATGGTAACTTTGTATTTCTTCTTTTGAACAATATTTTGTTTTTTAGAGTTAATAAACTGCTTTTTTGTTTACCTCATTTTTTCTAAACCTACAACAAATTCATCCCTAGATGCTCCAACAACTGTAAATCCCCTCTAATTATATTTTCAAGTACTCCAAGTCATTAATCTTATACCTTTTCCTCATCCTCTTCTATTTTTTTCTCCTTGAGACATTTCTGTTAGACATCTTTCTGTTCTACCCTGAATTGGTACTCTCTAGGCTTGCTACACAGTGTCATGTTGATATTTGTCCTGTCACTATCATCCTGGAAGGTACCCTTGTTCTTCTGTGTTGGAACCCCTATTTTTTTGATCCCTGTCTTCTTACTTCTTGTTTTATGTGGAATAACTTCTTTGGTGGAGCTGCATCTTCCAGTAGTTGAGAAACAGTGACTTTATTGATTTTTTTTTCTTTTGGAGATACTGCATGGCTGAAAATGCCATTAGTGTTATTGTCTGGCTATAGAATTATAGATTCAGATTTTGTTCCCATCAAAATTTCCAGTGTTCTGTTGACAAGTCTTATTATTTGATAAGACCAGTATTTTTTTTTGCTTAGTAGAAGATTTTAGGGTCTCCTCTTCATTCCCCAATGTTCTGACATCAAATGTTGACTTTTGTATGGTATCTTTTCACAGTGCTAGACATAATCTGAAAATTTGTTTCCTTCATTTGTGAGGATTTTCTTGTAGAATTCAATATTTTTTCTCATCTCATTTTTTTGTTCTATATTTCTGCAAAAAGAGTGAATCTCCAGTATAACTCCCTAATTATCTGTTTTATTCTATTTTCCTTATCTTTAAGCATATATTTCACTTCTTTATTTTCTTTACCTTTTTTTGGATAAGGAATTGAACCCAGGGATGCTTAACTACTGAGTAACAACATCCCCAGCCTGTTTTTTGAATTTTTGAATTTTGAGACAGTGTCTTGCTAAGTTGCTCAGGACCTCATTAAGTTGCTGTGGCTGGCTTTTCACTTGTGATCCTCCTGCCTCAACCTCCCAAGCTTCTGGATTACATTAGGCATGTGCCACCACACCTGGTTATATTTCACTTCTGATAGTTATTTTCTTCTAATATTTTACCACTATCTATTCCAAACTTTCTACTGATTTTGCTTTTTTTTTTTGCTATGCAAAGAACATCCAAGAAAAAAAATTTTAATTTTTATAACTTCCTCATCCTACTTAATGGATGCAATAGGACCTTATCCATTGATGGACATTTTACTTTTTTTTTTTTTTTTTTACATTATCTGTATTACTTGACTTTTTATTTATTTTTTGTTCTTTTTAGATATATATGATAGTATATTTTTACATATTTGTACAAACATGGAATATATTTTATTCTAATTAGGATCCCAGTCTTGTGGTTGTACATCATGTAGAGATTCATTGTGGTGTATTCACATATGTGTACATAGGAAAGTTGTGTCAGATTCATTCCATTGGCTTTTATTCCTATACTCTTCCCTTCCCTTAATTCCCCTTCACCAAATCCAGTGAACTTCTATTCTTTAACCCTTTTGTTGCATGTTAGCACCCACATATCAGTGAGAACATCTGACCTTTGGGCTTTGGGGATTGGCTTATTTCACTTAACATGATAGTCTCCAGATCTATCTGTTTACCAGTAAAGTCATTGTTTTTTATGGCTGAGTAATATTTCATTATGTAGACATCCACATTTTCTTTATCCATTCATCTGTTGAAGGGCACCTAAGTTGGTTCCATAGTTTAGCTATCATGAATTGAGCTGCTATAAACACTGATGTGGCTATACCACTGTAGTATGATGATTTTAAATCCTTTGGATACATACCAAGGAGTGGTATAATCATGTCAAATGGTGATTCCATTCCTTGTTTTTTGAGGAATCTCCACACTGCTTTCTACGGCAGTTGTACCAATTTCCAGTCCCTCTAGGAGTATATGAGTGTGGCCCTTTCCCACATTTTCACCAACATTTGTTATTTGTATTCTTGATAATTGCTATTCTGTCCAGGGTGACATGAAATCTCAAGTGTAGTTTTAATTTGCATTTCTCTTATTGCTACAGATATTTGCATTTCTCTTACTGCTACTTTTTTCATACATTTGTTGACCATTCATATTTCTTCTTCTGTGAAGCGTCTGTTTAGTTCCTTTTCCCACTTAGTGACTGAGTTATTTGTTTTCTTGGTGTTAAGTTTTTTGAGTTCTTTATTTGAAATATAAAATATGAAATAATTGTACATATGTGGGTTTTTCTCTGTGTCATCTATTCTGTTCCATTGGTCTTCATGTCTGTTTTGGTGCCAATACCATGCTGTTTTTGTTACTATAGCTCTGTAGTATAATTTAAGGTCTGGTATTATGATGCTTCCTGCTTTGCTTTTCTCACTAAGGATTGCTTTGGCTATCTACTCTGGGTCCCTTATTTTTCCAGATGAATTTCATGTATTCATTCTATGTATAATGCTGTTGGAATTTTAATAGGAACTGCATTAAATCTGTTTAGCACTTTTGGTAGTATGGCCATTTTGACAATATTAATTCTGCCTATGTATGAACATGAGAGATCTTTCCATCTTCAATTTCTTCTTTTAGAATTCTGTAGTTTTCATTGTAGAGTTCTTTCACCTCTTTTTTTTCCTGTTTGTTTTAGTCAATTGTGAGTGAGATAATTTTCCTATCTGCCAAACTTTCTAAAATCAAATTTTTTGGGATCTTTATCACATTAGATTTTCTTCACATGACTAGTAATCCTTGGTTCTCTATTCATGTTTAAAAATGACTCTTATACTAATACATTAATACATACAGAGTGCTTATTCAATAAGTGAGTCTCCCCTTTTCACCTTCTTTCTCTCTTCTTTAATATTTCTTTTAATTTATATCACTCTAAGAAATATTATTTCTGTCATTTAGGTAGTTAAGTGGAGAAGTCTCAATTTGAAATCTAAGGATCTAGTTTCAAAGTTTGGACTCTTAAGCACTATGTTAATATTACCTTTCAAAAACAAAAAGTGACGGAATACTGTGTATTCATGTGTAAGACTAAGGACTGGCATGCTTCCCTGTGTGGTGATAGCCAATATTTTTGTTAGGGAACTAAAGTCAGGTCATTTTCCCAGAGAGAAAGCCTCATTCAAATCTCAAATCTCCTACCTGGAGACTATATGGTTTCCTGGCAACTCACTGGAGTGAGGCTAATTTCCATTTTTTCATTATAGATTGAGTATTCCTAATTAAAAAATCTGAAATCTGAAATGCTCTGAAATCTAACTTATTGAGTATCACGTTGGTGCTTGTTTTAGTCAGTTTTTGCACTGCTGTGACCAAAATACCTGAGAACACAACTTAGAAGAGGAAAAATTTATTTGAGGCTCATTATTTCAGAGGTCTCAGTCCATAGATGGTTGACTCCACTGCTGTGTACTCAAGTTTAGGCAGCATATCATGAAAGAAGGTTGCAGTAAAGAAAAGCTGCTCCCCTCATGGCAGTAAGGAAGGAGAAGGAGTGAAGTGAAGGGGCAACAGGAAGAACAATCCTTTCAGGGCATACCTCATGGTGTTCAACCTCTTTCAGCCACACCCCACCCACCTACATTTACCACCCAGTCAATCCATCAATCTAGGATGAACAGATTAGGCTACAGCTCTCATAATCCAATCATTACATCTGAACATGCATTATCACAGGATTTTTTTGGGGAACACCTCATATCCAAACCATAACAGTATTCAAAAAGTTTCAGATTTTGGATTATTTTAGATTTTTTAGGTTAGGGATGTTCAATAAATATCTGAAATCAGAAAACTCTGAACTCAAGCATTTCAGATAGGAATATTCAACTTGTATGGAGACTTTCCTGAATTTTCCTGCTTTCAGCTTGACATTTATTAAATTCTACCTGTATGAACTTCATGCCCTTGGGTGCAAAAACTCTCTTGACATACTCTTCACAGGGTGAACTTGACTCTCATCTCCTACTGGGGTTGAGTAGGAGAAAGAGATAGTTGCTTTGGTTGAGGAAAAGGGATCTAGAAGGCATCTAACAGATCCTTACATGAACTTTCAGCCCTATACCAGCTTTCTGGCTTTAAAAGTATCTGATAACTTATATTTCAAGACAGTTTTATAGTAGAAATCACTTAACTTCTTGCAGGTTAGCAGTTGAATATCAGCTTTTTCTATTATGTTACAACTCAAAAAGAGTTTTTTTGGGAAAGACTTTGACTATTTTTAAATAATCTAGAGTTTCAATTCTGTTCAATGTGATATCTACTACAGAAACTTCACATGCAAAATAATGTAATTTGGCAGAATTATTTATTTTTATTACTTTAGAAATGGCAGAAGTATGTAATGAGAAAGAAAATTTTAGGTGCCCAAATCACATATTTCATATGCATGTAAATTATTTAATAGTATTATTATTCTAATTTGTTATGATTTATTTCCAATCTAGAATACTCTGAGATTTAAAATTTATAAAGTAACAAAATTTTCACCCAAGCAATTGAGTCAAAACCAACATATGAATTACATTTAGAAATATTAATTAAGCTTTCTCCATATTCTTATATTATACCCTAAATGACTAGCATTTTATAGATACTATATCATATTACCATTTCTATTTAAAATATAATGACAATCTTAATATTATACTAATTTTTCTTTACCTTTTTTTACATAAACATTACTTTTGATAGGAGTCCTGGGTATGTAACCCAGGGCCTCATGCAGGTGCTCTACCACTAAACTATGTCCCCGCCTATAAAATTATATTTTTCATACTTAAATTTTAATAAATACTTATTTTAAAAATTTAGGCAACAAGTCATTATCAAAACTTAGAGATGAAAGTTTGCTTTTCTATCCCATCTCAGCTCCATTATAGCCCATGAAGAATTGAAAGTCATTATGTACTTGCTAAATGAAAAAAATTAGTATGTATTTACCAAGTGAAAAAACCAAAAAAGCACCAAATGGTTAAATACAAACCTTGGTTCGGGTAGTGGTTTTGTTCTGTCTTCTTTCATTCCATACAAATGCAACAGCAGCCATGAAGTGAACTCCATGATTCATTGAAATGGGGCCCAATAATTCAAGGATCTGCTGTCTCAAGTTCTAAAGCAGTTTAAGTAAATGACAAGTGAAAAAATGAAAACAATAATAACTTGATTGAACATTTAGTCTTTCCTGAATATTATTCAATACTTACATGTTTATTCCCCAAGTACCAGCAAAGAAACTTTTATGTTAAGAATTATAATCATTAATATTTTCATTCTATAAGAAAACAAACTATGTAAAATGGAACTACAATTGGCCAAATGCAAATGAAACCACTGTGATGAGATACTAGAAAAATACAAAATGTGAAATCAAATTATTGTTTGATTAGGGTACTTTTTAAAGCTGGGACATTTTATAATTATAAAACACTCTGTGCTTTATATTCAAGTGAAATAAAACATAAAAAGTACAGTTTAATCTAAACATCAGTTCCTAGATGAAATGTTCTCATGGTTTGCATCCTTCTACTTTCTCCAATTCTTTATATATTCCTATGAATTCCAGATCTATTTGTCAGGTCTACAAGTATGATTAGGTTATTGAAAGATGTCCATTTCACAACTTGACAAATAATGACAACATTCATATAATGTTTAAGTAAAAGTAAATAATTGGAAAAATAGCAGAGTACAAAGAATACTTTTAAATCAATCATTAATCTTATCACTCTGATTTCATCATTCTTAACACTTGAACTTTCTTGTTTCTTCTGCAAACTTTTTTTTAATATAATTAAAAATACAACAATTGTTCAAATACATAATAGCACTCTTTACCTAATAAGAATTCTTCAAAACCAAAACCATTTGTGATTAAATAGTGTAACTCTGAGAGAATACTGTTTAACCATTTCCTTATTTATTGTTTAGAATCTTTCTTTGCCATTAAACAATGCTCTAATGAACACTTTACATAACTTTGATAACCTTAGAATTCATTCCTAAAGTAGATTTCTAGGTCAAAGACTATGAAACATTTAAATCACTCTACACGTATTACTAATTAGAATGTCAACTTAAAAAGGAGCAAAGTTATAACATGTGTGAAAAAATTTAGCCTTTTCTTTCTTTTTTTTTGTGGTGCTGGAGATTTAACCCAGGGCCTTGTGCATGTGAGGCAAGTACTCGACCAACTGAGCTACATCCCCAGCCCGTGTAAATTACTTTAAAAAACATGTCACACATAAGATAACACAAAAGACCAAATATTATATTATTCCATTTCCAATAAATACCCACAAAAATCAAATCCATGTATAAGAAAATATTGGTCAAATGGGGATATGAATGGGAACAGGGAGGGAGTGAAAGGACATGAAGAATCTTTTTTGTAGCGAAGAAAGTGTTTGACAATTGAATTGTGATAGTTTTGCAACTTGGTAAGTTTACTAAATAAGTGGATTTGTATATTTGAAAAGGATATGTCAGTTATATCTCAATAAAACTGTTATTTTAGAATTTATGTAGAGTGCCATAAACTACTCAAACTATCCATACATTCTGAATATAATCTTGGGGAAAGTACTCAAATATTAAGACTCTTGAGTGCTACAGATTAAGAGTGAACTGACTAACCTTTGTTGCTCCAAGATTAATAGTGGTAACAGATGCAGATGCAGCAACAGTCATCTTTTCTGATGCATCAGCCTGATGCAGTATGCTCCAAAGCAATGTCACAGAAGACATGATCATGTGAAGAATTGAGAGGATTCCACTGCGTGCTTCAAACAAGTGTTTTTGGTCTATATTGACCAAAAGCTATTAAAGTAGGGGAAAAAACATAATTACTAAGGTTTATGGGTAGGGACTTATGGAACCTCATAGTTTTTAAAAAGCAATCAAATATTTATGTAGTCTTACTTGGTGATACTGTGTAGTTGGATCCAACAAACAATAATGGATAATGGCTGTGATTCCTTCCAAAAGAGTAAGAATCATATCTGGCGGAATAATTGATGCCATCCACAGAGGCCTGAAATAAAATTTATTTATCTGAACAAAGTGCTCTGAAAGCATAGTTCATATTTTATCATTAGTAAATATCCAGCACATGTCAGGCACATGGTAGGTGTTCAATAAATAGTAGATGAATAAATGATTAAAAGAATAAGTTGGGGACTTCTATTTTCTAATCTATTAAATAAGTTGGTCTAAATATACTAGAATTCTTTTCATCTAAAGAATTCTATACAAAATAAATATAGCCAGTGAACCTCTAGCTATTAGGGAATGGCAGACATATCAATATTAAATTACAGTTTTCTTATTGTTTTACATGTAGTAGCTGAGGTTATATTGGAGAAAAGCCAGACACCATACATCTGGCTAATTTTTCACAGATTAATTTTTTTAATTTTTATTTATTTTTTTAAATTAATAAGATTTAATTTTTATAAATGAATATGGCTGTCTTTATCTCTATTAAATGAAACATGAAATGTTAACATTGAATAACATGTATGAATGATTGAAAGAATTTAATGAATCTTTATAGTTTATATTTTTGGAGATATTTATTAAGATAAAAGAAAGTTTTTTAAAAATAAACTTTTAAGTTTTTAATAGTGTTAGATTTACAAAATGCTGTGAAGAAGGTAGAGACTTCTCATATATCATATGCCTGGATCCTACTATTATATTATATATTATGTGCATTATTTTTATCTAGTATATGGCCATATATAATATTATACATCTTAAAGCATTGCTTTTCAACAATGAAGCAATATTGATACATTACTATTAACTAAAGTCCATGCTTTATTTAAACTCCTTAGTTTTTAATCCACTATCTTTTCTTGTCCTAGGATCCAATTCAGATGTAATGTTTCTTAGACTTTTTTGTCTGTAAGAGTTTTTCACACTTTTCCTTATTTCAGAAGGCCTTTACAGTTCTGAGAATTACTGGTAATTTTTAACATTCATTTTTACTACACAGGTAGTAAAGTCCACCACCAAACCAGGAACATCCAAAACATAAAACAAAATTACATGGGAAAGAATTATTTGTACATTTACTTTCAGCCCAAAATTCATTTGCACTTAGATAACATACCAAATACTCTAAGAAAACTCCTGGCTGAGCTTCCTATTACTTGTGCTAGCTGAACCAAGAAGACTATCAATATTAATTTTAACCCTTGAGGGGAAAAAAGGCCTGTTTTAAGTACTTCTTCTCTTTCTAGATTCTTTTATTGATAATTTTCCTCAAGCTAAATTTTCTTCTTTGTGAAAATGTCACAGTATTTGTAACCAACTGAAAACCACTAATTTACTTTAAAGAAATGGTGGTGTTAGGGATTGAGCTTAGGGTATTATGAATGCTAAATACACATTCTACCACTGAGCTACATACACCCTTAGCCCTATTCAAACTGTTACCGACTTTTTGGGCACTTAAAGCATTCATATGTATGAAAAATATCAATGACAACAAAGTTAAAATCAACCCTTACCTACTATCAGATAATCCTGTTTCATATTTGTACTGCTGAATTAGATTATCCAAATTTCTGCACAGCTGTAGAGTCACAGAAACAACCACTCTTTGTAGAACTTTTCCCATGTAAGGCAGAGTAGATGTGATTAAACCAATCCATTGTGGATGCATCTTACATGCACAGTGTTGATGCAAAGCTCGTATCACTGCACAGAGGAACATGCCTTGACACGTAATTGGCTGAGCATGCAAATACTGAAGAGAAGTCATGGGCTGATGGGGACCAATATGCTCCAGGTCAGATACAACAAAGTCAAAACCTGTTTCATTCTCTTCGGGAATAGTCATTACACGGTCTTCTAAAACAATCAGCCTTTGAAGCACCCTAAGAAGTTGTGACTGGAGTGTGCTGCCATTGTCAAATTCATCCTCTGAGAAATTAATAAGGCTATCCTCTGAAAAACCTTCTTCCACAGCCACCATATTTTTACCTGCCATCTTTTCACTATGCCATTTCTGTACACTAAAGATAGATGACAGCAAACAATGAAGAATCACTTTCTGAACTTTACATTTAGATAACATGTCAGAGATAAAACTAGGGAAACCCTTTGCTGAGCTTTCTATTACTTTTGCCAGTTCAGTAAAGAGAAGAGTCAAAATTTCTATACTCATCATCTGCATATTTCGATTGCCTATTAAATCTTGTGCAGTGACTTTGACATGAGTTGGATAATGGCTACGCATGTAATATAAACAGAGGGAAATAAGAATTTCTATGTACATGGAACTCCGGAAGTTATGATTTGAGTCCACTGGAATATGACTATAAAAGTCTTTGCCCATAACAGAGATCCGGTGTCTGGCCAATAGATTCTGAAGCAGAGACAACTGAGGAGTATATGCATTATTTACACTAGTGGTTGAAATGGCATTTACAAAAGCAACAGGGTTGGTTTTCAAGATGGCTTTGATGGCAGAGAAAGCATACAGAGTCCTTGATGAATCATACAACTGGAGATACAGGAGCACGTGTTGATACAGAGGATGGATATTGAAATTGGGAGATTTCCGTGATCCTGGAGAACCCACATCACTCTCAATTTCAGAAATTTCTCCCTCTCCACAGCTATACCAATTTTCTAAATCCAGACCATCACTAAAGAATACACTGGTTTGTTTGAGTTTTTCATTTGAAGTTTTTTTCTTGTCATCATCCTTTTTTTTTGCAAGTTTTACTTTGGGTTTTGCTCCTGGTTGTTTACCCGATTCCTTAACAATTGTTTCTTTCTCTGAGATTTTTTCTGACAATTTTTCTCTGAAGCTGAATTGGATACTACTGTGACTTCTCTGTCTAGATTTGGTTTCTGTGGAAGCAACAGAAGAATCATGTAGAGTCTGTGTGGTTCCTGAAATACAAGGTGAGGAGCTATTTCTGGAGATTCCATTTGCCAAGCACTCACAGCTTTCCTCTATAGACACAGAAAGAAACTGAGGACTTTCATTTGGCAACGAAGCACTGTGACTCCGCTGACTGGAATGATCTTTACTTTTAATCACCTCCTCACCTAGCTCTAAATCACTACTCTTTGGGGGCAGAGCTTCAATTTCTAATTCAGATGTAACCGATGCAGATTCTGCTTCAAGGCCACTTACAACTTTACATATCAGGTCAAACACTACCTGCTGAACATCATCATCTGGGGAGCTTTCCTTTTGCACGTGAGAATCCTCGTGGGCATTCACATTTTCAGGATCAGCTTCATAACTTAAGTTGTCCCCAGCAGAGGACTGTGAACATCCAGAGTCTGAACTCTGAAGTATTTCTATCTGTTGGTCTGGAAGATCAAAATCAGAAACAACCATTGGAATTGTCTCACTGCTTGTACTCAGGAGGGAAAGTCTGTCACTCAATGGATTAACTGTGAGACTGAAGTTCTCTATTTCATCCATGGTCAGTGGCTTTTCACCATTTCCTTTTGATGTGATGAGTTGAATTTGACTTGCTGGCATGTGACAAAAAATAGTAAAGAAGAAAGTACAAAATGTATTACAATTAATGGAATGTAGAAAGAGAGACTGAATTTGAAAATTTTTACTTAGTTTCATTGTCTATATTTTATTAAAATTACATTTTAACTTTTCATTATTTTAGACCTTTTAAATCAATATGACATAGATGACTACTAATTAGAATTTATTTAATGGTAACAGCACATTTAACAGACAAAATAAATCAGTTTACTTTCTCAGAGGAGGAATTAGCCACACCTCTGGTCAGAGATATTCTTCTACTATGATGGAATTACCTTTAGAGCTTATTTAGCAATCCTGGTTCTGCAAAGGCACTGCAGACATTCCACTGGGAATTTATAGGAAGCCTAAAATAAGGCATCCTTTTTACTACAGGTTAAGATTTTATTTTTCCTCCTTGGATAATGTTTCCCTTTAGTTATACTGTTTCTAAGAATTCAAACAGTTTAGTTTATAGTCAAATGTACAAACAGATAATCTCTTTTATTGTGATAAAATTCAACAAATATTTATAAATTAACTATTATGTGTAAGGCCCTAAACTGGGAGACAATGAATTAGAAGGGAAGAAAGAGGCATCATTGCTCCTTTCTAAGGCGTTTAAAATTGGTAGGAGATCACAAATACATTCATTAGTATGCCCCTACAGATACTTTATTGGGAGCATACTATGTTGATGGCATTCTTTTATAAAAGGTAGAGGCCTCAGTGCCATATTAGTATCCAAATACTGTTAAATTCACAATACAACAGATGAGGTACGACACTTGATCTCAGAGGGGAGGTAAGAATTAGACAGACAGGGATTATGGCAGGTAAAGTGCTACCTCCAGGATGTTTTGGAAACAAGCTGGTAGAAAAAGTTCTTAGACTATACAGGTTAAGCAATGGAAGGGAATCTAGAGAGAGGAGTCAAAGTTTTAGAGAAACACACAATGTGGAGTAGAATGATGATTCCATTTACTAGCCGTGAGGCCTTGAGAAAGCTATAGCCTTCTAAATATTAGCAACCTGTTTGGTAAAATAACCTTTATATTATTGATCTCATAGGCTTATTAATCAAGACATATAAATAAGATATGTGAGTCTTTAGTCCCTAAAGTATAATGAAGGGTCATTATCACTGTATAAACAGCATGACTTGATATTTTATGAAGTGTGGACTTCACAGTAATAGTGAATAGTTATCAAACATTTATACCAGGCACTGCACTAAGCATGTCACAATCTAATGTTACCTAGCATGTTTACATCTAATGTTCATAATAAAATCTGAGTAGTGGGTACTATTATTCCCATTTTTTATATAAAGAAAATGATTAATGATTCATCAAACTAAAAAGTACACTATAGGCTTACTATAAATTCTCAGTGGAATGTCTGCAGAGCCCTTGCAGAACCAAGATTGCTAAATAAGCTCTAAAGGTAATTCCATCATATTAGAAGAACGTCTCTGACCAGAGGTGTGGCTAATTCCTCCTCTGAGAAAGTAAACTGATTAAAGAGATCCAAGAACTCATTGATGAAGTACATTCTGACAAGGCCATACAGCACTGCTAGTGCATAAGAAGAAATATACCATGGAGAAATCACACATACAATTCTCTTGCCAATCACTGTTGTATTTCACTTTAATAACTAAATTCTAAATAAAGGTGTTCTATTTCCATGTGATATTCACCATTGCTGCAGGCAAAATTCTGCATGAAATGCTTGTCACTCTCACTCTCTTCTCCTGAATAACAGGGAGTCTTATGCCAATAACGTTCTGCTTGTACACGCTGCACTGAAACCCTCTGAGTTTTTGGATGGAGCAGAAGCAATAGCAATGGTTCCAAAACTCTTGCAATATCATGTCTTTGTAGGACTTGGTTCAGCCAGGCTTGTCCCACAGAGCTAGTAGAACCATCAAGACTGTTAAGGCTGTCTAACATGATGAACAATGACCTAAAATAAACACCAATCATTAAAACAAAGAACACAACACCTTTAACTGTAATAGTCTAATTTTTCTGCAATATTATAAATTGTATATCTTATTTTAAATTAACTATTTTAATATAATCACACTTTAAGATAAATTTTGACCACAGCCTTTTTATAATCCTAATTTCAACAGAAATGAAAAAGGAGAAAGTAATTTTTCCCTTTATTATATGCTTGTGTTTTACTACTTTTTTATTACTTTCATAACATAAAGTCTAAAGAATAGAAAAACTATATTTAATTAGTCTTTTTTTAAGCATCATATTAACAAGTACTGAAGCTTCTGCAAGTCATCATTATTTACATGCTAGTCAGTGCTATGCCACTCCCATTCTCTTCAGAGTCAAAATTATAATGCTTAATTCAAGGAAATAAACAACTCAACACTGAATATCTTGTGTACCTCTGGACAAGCAATTTAATTTCTCTGGGCCTACATCACCTTATTTGTAAGGTGAGGAGAGGTAGTTGTCAGGGTAGAGATGGTTATTTGTAAAGAACCTAGATCAAGGCTTAGTTAACTATAGGGGTTTCAATATATAGTTCAATAGTAGATCATTTAAAAATGGTGATGCTGATTGAAAAAGCACCAGTTGAACTAATGTGCACAGAACACACACTGGATCCTAAGCTAGGTTTTCAGAATAGTTGGGTTTGTGGCCACTCTGTGAGACCTTCAGGTAAGACTATTTTATGATAATACATGGTAGTTCCTTGGAAGTTATTGTGTGAGCAAAAATACTCTCAGGTAACTACACAATCCATAGAAGTGGTGTGTCAGTGTTTTCATTCATAGATTTTATTTTATTTTATTTTATTTTAAAGAGAGAGAGAGAGAGAATTTTTTTAATATTTATTTTTTAGTTCTCAGCGGACACAACATCTTTGTTTGTATGTGGTGCTGAGGATCGAACCCTGGCCGCACGCATGCCAGGCGAGCGCACTACCGCTGAGCCACATCCTCAGCCCTCATTCATTGATTTTAATTAGTCCAGTTCATGCAGGAGATTGAGGATAATTGCTTGAGAAACAAACAATATACTATTTATATGCAATTTCACTGAATGTGACTATAGGCTCAAGAAGGCTGTTATCCCTGGCAACTAGAATGGTGCCTGATACATAGTTGGGACTTGAAAATGGTCCAATGAAAAGAAGGGATGCTTAAAAAATCTACAGCTAGGAAGGGAAAATCTGGTGGGTAACTGAGACTGCCATACATTTTAATAATATAGCTTAGATTTTTCAAAATACCTAATAAATTCTGTTTATAAAATTTGCAAATTTCTATCTTCTTCTATTCCAAAATAGAGCATTCAATAAGAGACAACAAGATATCTGACTGTAAAATCTGAATATAAAATGTAACCAACCTGTCAAAAGAACGTGCAAAAGATGACTTATTTATATGGAGATCCCTTGTTAGATGCCAAAGAACTGCAAACTTTGCATGTGCTTCCATCCTTATTTTCTAAGGACGAATATGGGAGATTAAATTATTTTATTGTTTTAAAGACATTAATTTCAGGAACATTGTGTTCAATGTTTACAGTGCTCAAATACACTCTACATAAACTTTGATTACACTTTTATGAAGTAGAAACTTTTATGAAGTAGAAAAATACTTGTATGTATACAGAAATATTAAACCAAGTCCCTCCTCTCAAAACAAAAAACACCCAGCATTTTTCTTAAAATTTTATTTCTGAAAAATTTTGAAAGAATATAGTAAAGCAGAAATATAATTTTAACACTTTTTAAAATTCCTGTAATTTACTGCTTCATTCACTATTTTTACCCCAGTTAAATCCTTCATTTACTCAATATAGTGCACTTTTTAAATGTGACCCATTCAAATTCACTAGGAAGCTTAAGTTTTTTAAACAAACAAAAAAAAATTAGGGCAATCAACTTCTAAAAGTTATTCAATAAAATTAAATTTATATGACAGAGTAGCATAGGATGACCACAAACTTCATTAAATTACCCTGAAGATGTTAATCAGAATGATTTATACTCCTAGGTCCACCCATAAACCAGTCATCTTAACTGACTTATGTATTACTACATATACATTAGGACATGTAATTCTTATTTTTATAATGCAAATAACATAATCTCACATATTGGCACATAAACAACATATACCTTATAAACATAACATTAATATTCATGAAATGAAATAATGTGTATCTACATTCCATAACTGAAGTCACTAATTCTTCTTTAAATTATCCTAGAACTTAGACCAGCAATAGCTTTAGTCATCATAACCCACAGTGATGTTCTGAACCAAGAAATAAATCCAGTATTTGATTTGTGGTTATTTAATATTTAATATTATTGATGCTTTTTATAAAGAACTTCCCTCTTCAAAGAGCAGAAAACACTGATTTTAAATATAATACATGACTCAGAACAAAACTATATTGTCCTTTATTCAGATGCTAGCTATCATAATTTTCCTAGAGTGTTTCCTTACTTTCTTAACTTACCTTTTGGTATAATGTGTGTGTGTGTGTGTGTGTGTGTGTGTGTGTATGCACATGCAGTGCACAGTGTAAGAAGAGCAGGATTTACCTTATCTTTATGGGTTAACTGCTGACTTATAACATCCTCACAGATGCTAGAAGAAGGAACCAAGTTATGCAATTGATAAAAAAGTTCCACACTCTTCTGGTGGTGCTGAGGTGTACCATCTCCTAGCTGGTCCCACAATGTCAGTGCTACATGCTATAGAAAGATATAAAAGTGACCATTACAAAATCATAAAGATGGGCTGGGGTTGTAGCTCAGTGGTAGAGCACCTGCCTACCACATGTGAGGCCCTGGGTTTGATCTTCAGCACCACATAAAAATAAATAAATAAAAATAAATGTATTGTGTCCATCTACAACTAAAAATATACTTAAAAAAAGGAAAACCTATTTAGTAAACATTTCCCATTAGGTATAAACTAATAACTGGTCTCTTAACTACCAGACCTGAAAAGCACCCTCCCACCTGCACCAGCTGGCTTCGAACTTATGATCTTCCTGCTTCAGGTTGGTCCATAAGTCACTGGGATTATAGGCATATGTCACCACACTTCATTGGAAGGTATTTAATACTGCGCACTTGGATAAGATTTAAAATAAAGCCATTCACCTAACCACTTTCTGATCACCTAAACCCTTAGAACTTTTCATGATGGTCCTTTAATAATATTTCTTTTAACATCAGAAATGTAATAAGAACTTTCTGCAGAAAGCAGATAAGATCCCATTTCACTAGTCTCATGATATTTAGTGAAGTAAGGCTAAAATATATTCTCTTTACTAGGATACAAATATAATGTGGAACACAATTTAATTTTTATGACTGAATGTTACAGAGTGAAACATACTTCATGGTCAAATAATCCAAACTCCTTAAGAATTATTTTATTTTTGTCTTGAAGTGCTGGGGATAGAAACCAGGGCCTTGTACATGCTGGGCAAGTGCTCTATCATTGAGCTATATCACCAGTCCAGAGATTTTATAAAGTAAGTCATATCCATCTAAGGCTATGTGTGTTATGCAGTACTTAATTTATAACAATATTAACAAAAATCCAAGAATATTTAGAGTTCACAATGTTATAGAAATCAACTTTAATCTAGCAGAAGGAAATATCTAGAGGAGCACAATGACTTGAAATCAGATATTGAAAACTTTTATTCATAAAATTATACCTGCTTAATATGTAATATATTCCAAACTTACATATATTCTATGTAGAAAATACCATCTATATTATTGTGGTAGAAATGAAATACTGCATTATTTTCTGAATGACATTATATATCACAGATGATAAGTAGGCAAAATGGAGAGTCAGAAAAACTTTCCATGGGAGTTTTAGAGAGATGAGGTTTTAACTCTATGGAAAGTAAAAAGTGTCACAACCACTTAATCTGGAAATCAGTTCTACTATATAAATTAACTTTTCTCCCTTTTAGTTAAAATTATTTCCTCCATGGCTTCACTGAACTACATATAGTGATTATCTTAGTCACATACAATAGTATTTATTTAAAATTTACCTTGAAAAATTCAGTCTTCTCAGCTATGTACCTCAGATTGCCCTGAGTGAGGGGAGGTCTAATAACCACAGCTACTCTTCCCTGGTTTGGACTTAAAGGTTGTGCAGGCTCCATGCTGTTGATATTTTCCCCAGTGACCATGGCCACAGATTGAGTCAGTCCTACCAGGTCCATAACTAGTGAAACAGCAACACTCTGAACACTGAAATCACTTGCTTGGCTACAAGCATTCATGAGAGTCTGGAGCCACTGAGGAGGCTGTACATGCTCATAGTCTGAAACAAAAGATGAAACAATTAGTTCACCACATTGAACATTTCACACATACTCTAATTTCAAAAAAAAAAAAAAAAAAAAACCCAAAGCAATCATATTTCCTACCTTTAGCCCTTGATTTGTTAATAAAATTAAGATTTCTCACTTAGTTTAGAGCTTTAAAAAAAGAAAGCAGCAACAAGAATTCCATCAACTATTTTTTTTCAATGTATATTTTTCTCATGCCCAGACTTAAATCTATTTTCCTATCTGAGAAGTCTATTTATCAAAACATATTATCTAGTACACGCTGTAATATGTGTGTATATATAAAAAATTAAATAAAGGTAAACATACATGATGCTGCCATAATAAAGGAAACCAATGAATCATCCAATGTTACATTATGTTTCTCCAGAGATTTCCTTTTTAACTTCTACTCACCTGCAAGCAAACTGTGAAAGTCATCAAAATCACAAAAATTTCTAACAGTAATTTCCCCACTGTGACTGTATTTCATTTAAAAGATTTATAAATTAATATGATATTGTTAAAAAATTAACTGGCTAAGAATTTCCAGTTTTAATATCTGAGTTGTTCTTACATATAAATAGCATGCTACAGAAATACTGAAATACAGGTAATCTTACCAGTCTCCAGCTTTTCAGAACGTAACTCTGATGTATGGTTCCCCTCAGCAATGTAAACTGGGAAACTTGAACACTCTAGGAAAAGCTGACAGGCAGCAAGGAAGGCAGAAAGGTATTCTTTTGAAGTTTTTTGTTTACTTATGTTTCTCTCTCTTACATCTCCTTGTGAATCCCTGTCCCATTTTGAAGTTTCTCCTTGTGTTTGACTAAGATCCCCTTGATGCTCTGTAGCCAAAGCCTGAGGAAAAGAGTTACTCTGAATAATATAGAGGTTGATAAGTCTGGTAAGAAACTGTTGGACATACTCCAAGCAGCATTGCATTGCAGTCTTTTGGGCTATCTTCCCACTTTGGGGTGCTGTGCCCTGAGTGACTGTGGAAGGAGGATGGATGATGGTTTCTTCAGATCCCACAGTGGATGCTGTTTCTGTCTCAGAAGATGTGCTACCAACTGGGATGGTAGATGCCCCCTGCCCTTCACTTAGTTCCCTGTCAATGTCATCAGTTCTATCTGCTTGATATTGTATAAACTCAGTGAAGCCACTTTCTGATGATCGACTACTTGGTGGATTTTCTCCATCTTCAAACACTTCAGTAGGATTTTCCAGAGCAACTGATGATACCTGGTAGAGATTTTTTAAAAACAAAAGTCTGAGTAGATACATGCATATATCAGGAATTAGAAACAGCCACCTTTTTAAAAAATTTTTTGTTTTTAGTTGTTGATAGAACTTAGTTTTATTGTTTTGTTTATTTATAATAAATAATAGCAGTATTTATTTATTTATTTAAAATAAAAGCAGTACTGAGAATCGAACCCAGTGTCTCACACATGATAGGCAAGTGCTCTATCACTATGCTACAATCCCAGCCCAAGGAATGGCCACCTTTTGAGAGAAGTTTTAGACTACTTACAATTTAATTTGCATTCTATTGAATCTTAATGCAGTTCCTATATTGCCGTATATGTTTATGATAATAGGAAATACTGATAGGGCTCTAATAAATACATTATATATATTCATTTGCCAAGTATTTATTATTAATTGTATGCATATCATAAGGTCAGTTTCTTGAGGTCAAAAATACATATATGCACCGATCCTTAGGATCTGTATCCTTGTTTCCAAATAACAATGCATTTTTATATCATAATTTATCATATCTCTAATTGTATATAAGGTATGTTGACACCAAATTCACATCTTCATACATGTATTTTGTATAATGATGAGGGTCTCCTTCCACCATCCATGCTATTCTCCTTCTCACTCCCTTTCCCTCCTACCCCTATTCCCTATCTAGAAAGAATTGTAAAGAAAAAAAAATAATAATAATGAGAGCTCTTGTATAATGGCATAATTTGGCGTGAACATACTTTATATATAGAGTTACGAAAAATGATGTTGTGAATGGATAAATATAATTGTAATGCATTCTGCTATTGTCATGTAATAAATAAATAAATAGTTCATGAGCACTCTTAGCTTATCATGCTGCCTAGTTCTGTTTAAAGTGAGTCAGCAATCAATCAAATACACCTTTGGTTTTTCTGGTAAATGACAATTTATGAATACATCCTTTATATGTGTGTTGATTAAAATGCAAGTAATTTAGCAACTGTTTATTATTGGACTTTTTCCAATGATGTTATTACATTTTTGAATGGGTATGTTTTTGCAACTGGAACTGCTGGATATTTTAGAGTTTGATGTAACCACATTCAACAATTAACTAAAATACATATATTTCAAACAAACAAACAAAAAAACAATGCAGTTAATCTACTTCATGAAATTACCATCCTAATGTCAAAACAATGCAAAGAATGAGGCATGTAAAGTTAAAAAATAAAATTAGAAATAAGGGGCTGGGGCTGTAGCTCAGTGGTAGAACACTTGCCTAGCATGTGTGATGCACTGGGTTTGATCTTGAGCATCACATAAAAGTAAATAAACAAAATAAAGGTGAAAAAAATTAGAAATAAAATCTAATAGGTTATCTGTTCAAGAACATGTGAATGTGAACATTTGTTGAAAAGTATGAAGTACTAATTAAATGTTTGCTATTAATTTTGTATTCTTCCAGTGACTAGTTATTGAACTTATGAGATATGCCAGATACTGTATTAGATAGTAGTAATAAAATGAATAGTTTATAATCTAGAGGGAAAGAGGACAAATGAACAAATGAACCAGTTCTTGGAGTAGAGCTGGAATGCATTAACCTTTCCCTTGTTAATAAGGATAAGTATAATCAAATGTAGTTTCTCATTTAGTTTAAACAAAGTTGTGCATATCATGACTTTCTTGGGTAATTTTATACTAGAGAATAATTTGAATAAGATTATTAAAAAGCAGTCTTATTAATATGTGAATTCAGTGCTCTGTTGCTCAAAGCTGTCTTACCCAATGTTCCCTGCTTCAGTTAATGACACTACTGCTCATGAAAGCCATTAAGATAGAAACCTAGGAGTCATTTTTTGTACCTCTTCCATCTCTGCTCCCCTTTCTTACTCCCCCACTTCCACATCAGTATAATAGCGATAGGTGTGGGCTCCATGTCAGCTGGGCCTTTGACACTCACTAGCTATATGATTCTTAGCAAGTTGTTAACCTCTCCAAACCTCCATTTCCTAATCTGTGTAGTCCCTCCTTATCCGTGGGGGATATGTCCCAAGATCCCCAGTGGATTCCTGAAACCATGAATAGTACTGAGCCTTATTTATACTATGATATTTCCTATACAGACTATGATAGCATTAAATTATAAGTTAGGCATGGTAAGATATAAACAATAACTAATCATGTAACAGAGCAACAATAAACTGATAAAAGTTATGTGAATGTGGTTTCAAAATATCTTCTGTACTTATTCTTTTTGTGATGATATGACATGATACAATGCCTACGTGATGAGATGCAGTGAGATGAATGATGTAGGCACTGTGATCCAATGTTAGGGTATGAATGCTTCACTTATGTATGGATTTTATTTCAGGAATCTTCCATTTAATATATTAAGACTCTTGTTGACCATGTGTAAGTGAAAAGCTGGCAAGGGAAACTGTAGGTAAGGAAGACCACTATAATTGAGATGACAATAATGTATACTTTTTACAATGCCTAGCTCTTAGCAAACGCTCAGAAAATGTTAGTGATCACTCATTATCCTTAAAATATACCACTAAGTCTTTTTGTTTTGTCTTCCCAAATATATTGCTAATCCATCCATTTCTTTCTTCACTCTCCCATCTTATTAGCACAAGTTACCACTACCTTTCACCTGTGCTACTTTAGGTTTCCCCACATCATTTTTGTTTCTCAGATGCTCACTGTAACCACAGCAATTTTTCTTTTTAAATATGTAGTTATAAGTGGACACATATCTTTATTTTATTTTATGTGGTGCTGAGGATCAAACCCAGTGCCTCATGTATGCTAGGCAAGCGTTCTACCTCTCAGCCACAACCCCAGTCCACAGCAATTTTTCTAATATACAAATCTGATCATGCCACTTTCCCTTCAATGTCTTCCCATTACTCCTAATAAAAGCCTTGTTGCAATGAAAACAGCTATACAAGGATTGGCCCCTATCTCCCTCACAGCTACATTGCCATATCTGCATAGTGCTCCTTTCTGCCCACGTCTTTCTTTCCAAATGTTCCTTCCTCTATCTTGTGTTTTCTTCTTTCTAACTTGCCGCTACTCTACCAATTCCTGTAGGGTTTCACTCAAATACTTCTCAAGAAAACTTTCATTTGTCTCTAACCTAGGGCAGGTCACCCCCATTTTCCACATTTCTACCTCTTTAGACTTCATACATTAATAATAACAATAATTAAATGTGAAATCACTTGTTTAATATGTGTCTCCCATCTAGAAAAAAAGGGTTGAGAATTGTAGAGACTTCCTAATTCACCACTGGATAGCTGATGCCTAACAGAGTGAGTGTTGAATGAAGAAATGTGGTTTTCCCTGTTTCAAAGGTAAGAAAACTGAGGCTCAGGAAGGTTAAAAACAAAAAGAAAAAACCCTGCCCAAGTCATAGTGGATAAGCTTAGCAATTATTAGAATAGCTCAGATGAGGTGATTTAAACTATGTTCTTTTCACCAAAGCACATGAGTAAGAGTACTTTTCCTATTATAATGTCAAATTTAGAGGTGGCTATCAGAATAGAACTTCCTAACCAAATTTTCTCCATTGAAAAGTTTGGTGACCATCTGAAATCATGTACATTTTTTAAAAGACCCTCTCAAATGATAAAATTTAGAATATTGTAAAATTATTTTTGTATTATTCTTAACAAAAGGGTCATAAAATGATGATATTCAGTTAGTTCAAGGCTATAAATTTAACTGAACTTGCATACAATTATTATATTGATTGGTATAAAATATATTACATAGATACATATGTTCATATATATGCATAATTTTGTAATAAAACATCTTTCTGAAAATAGAAAGCAATGACATTTAGGTATTTGAGTATACAGATCAAGTACAATAATTAAAAAAAATGCATGAAGTACATAGAGTCAAATAAGATTTATCATTTTTCCCCACATACTGGGAATTGAATCCAGGGCTTAGCATGTACTAGGCAAGTGCTCTACCATTGAGTTACATCCACACCTCTTCTTCTTTTTAAAATTTTATCCTGAGACAAAGTCTTGTCAAGTTACCCTGACTTCAAACTTGTGGTCCTCCTGCCTCAGCCTCCTGAGTAGCTGGAATTACAGGCATGTCACACCTTATCTGGATAGATTTATAATTTTTTAAAAAAGTCAGTCCTTCACTTACACATTAAAAAATGGAATATAGAAAAACAACTTCAGCTTTTAAGTATGATCAATTTTCATACATCCAGGCAAAGATAATATATTGTACTCAATAAAAATATATGAAAAAAAATACATGGTCTAGAGGCAGAGGAGAAAACCATAGATGGGGAAAGGCATACTCTAATAGGGTTAATGACACTTTATAATTTAAAAAAATATATTATTTAACTGTCCTTCATTTAATATGAGTAGATGTTACCATTTACCTTACTCATATACACTAAGAAGGCCCCTGAATATTTTCTACATAGTGAATCTTCACGTATTTGAATATGCTATTGAAAGAATGCTGAGGGTCTTCCTTCTCTTACTCTCATTAATTTCATTCAAATGAAAACCAAAGTCTCAAAATTAGTTAACACCTAATTTAGTTTTATTTCTAAGAAAATCTCAGCAGCATAATTTAAGGAAAAAGTGCAATAAAATAAATTTCCAGCAATGGTATAGACG